ACAGTATTACTGTTTATGAATTGGTTGATCACTACTACTACCAGAAATTTTTAATAACTAGTGAAAAAAGGCGGAAAAAATACATCCCCAAAGGAATGGTGTTATAGTTTAAATTAAACATGCTATTCTCTAAAAATAAAATCATTTTTTCTTAATGTATTATTACCCCGTAAAAGAGTCACTATTGTGTAACCATAACGTCTTTGTTCTCTTCATTGAGGATCAATGTTGTAAAACTTCTACAATGTATCTTTAGAATTATCCAGAGGCTATTGTACGATGACGCAGTTAAAGGTAAAATTGTATTCAAATCAATATTTTTCCATGACCTGGTACATTTTATAGAACTACTGAAATCAGAGAACATTGAAATACCGTTTTATCGAACTGTAGGTCAAGTTAAAAATTTACATTTTGAACTGTCTACTTACTGAATGTAATAAAATTTTCAGAACGGGTTTTGTGGAGATTTTAGGAATTTCACTGGTTGAAATCATGAGTCAATTGAAGCTAGACCACCATAGAATACCTGGAAACACTGGACGGCCGTTACGTCCTAATATGGGACTCCTCAGCAGTGCGCATCCACGGTCCCGCCCCCGGCGAGATTCGAACCCAGGGCCAGGTCGGTTGTGAGATATCAACTCACTGAAGACAGTGGTGTGCGGTAGCGCAACTTCGTGGATTGGTTGAAGTTAGACATTAACACCGTTGGATGCCGAACAGCTCAGTGATCTAATGTTCAAGCGCCTGGCGCGAGACTGTCAGGTTCTGGGTTAGAATTTCGTGGAGGGCGGGATCGTGGGTGCGCACTGCTGAGGAGTCCCATACTAGGATGAAACGGTCGTCCAGTGCTTCCAGGTTTTCCATGATGGTCTAGCTTCAATTGACTCATGATTTCAATCCGTGAAGTAATCAAGATTAATCAATTATTCATAGCATAAATAATGATTTTTTCCTCATTACATAATAATTGTCAAGTTAATAATTTTATGAATTGGCATTTTTATTTTAAGATATATGAATCTTTGGCGGCCTGTTTAAATATCTGAGCTATTTTGGTCCTTTCATCTAGATATTTCAAAAAGTTATCTGCTTTTTTATTTATTTGTTTGTTTGTTTGTTTGTTTGTGTTAACATATTATTATGTCTAATAATTGTATAACTTATTCAAGTAGGTTTATAAAACGTTTACAATCTTTCGGTGTACATGTTATAAAAAAGTTCAATCAGAGATATTATGGTTGCTGCTAACATACAGCGAAATGAATGTACATTATTCAGATATCGATTTATGAACTGCTAACATCTAATTGGCGAACATTTAATATTGAATATCAGGATCGACCAAGAAGTAAGAAATGGAAACTTCTTGAAATACTTTGTACTGACAGTTCTATATTTTACCAAAATATAATATTGAATAAAGCAAATAATAATAAAGAAAGAAAGAAACATGTTAGATAGGGTGCTTCTAAGTATGTATTACAATGAGGTTGATTATTTTGGAAAAGAATGTCTGAATTTAACTTTTTTAGGGAATATTACACAATATTATTATTATTATTATTATTAATGGCTTTATTCAATATTATATTTTGGTACAATATAGAATTCTCAGCACAGGGTATTTCAATAAGTTTCTTATACAAAAAACAGAAACAAAGACAAAAAAGGGAAAAAAACGTTTAAAAAAATCTGAAAAACTGTACAATTTTCCAAATTAGAGACATGTTAAGAATGCAAGTTAGTGACTAGGTTAACTCTAACAACCTGTTCGTCACAGAGTATATTTGCTAGGTAAGGTATTATAGAACTTTTATACTTTTGCTTGCCTGCATGAATTACAATGTAATTACGTCACGTTCTACCAGAAGATATACAAGGAGAAAGATAAGTGTGAAGGAGATGGTTAGTATCTGATAAAATAACACCTGCCAGGAGTTTGCATGACTTTAGACATCTATCCAAAACCACATTAATTATGACCTCGAAAGATTCACCACACACCTTGATAACTGCCTTTAGCACTCTCTGCAATACAGCAAAGTCTTTTCTCAAAAGCCCAGGAAAGAATAATGGAGAACAGTAAGTAATAATAGGTAATATGCAAGAATTGACAAATTGTAAGAGTAAATGACGAGTAATCCCAAGAGCATGCAATCTCTTTATGTGGTAAGTCAGACAGTAAACCTTCTTCGACAACAATAAAACGTGAGAAGACGACGAGTGTTCAGAGGAAAAGGTGACACCAAGATAATTGACCTTCGACACTGTGTTTATCAAATAGTCGCGATTAGCACAAGCATTATGGGATCTCAAAATGGTGTTTAGATGCCGTTCAAATGTATAAAAACTATGTTTGGCATTAGTCAACTACACAATCTTATAATGTTAATGAACGACTTTATTATTCACTTCTTTTCTACTATCTATTTTTAAAAGAGGTTCAGCTGGAAATATTTAGGTCCATGAAAGGCAAAAATGTAAAAAGAAACCATGTTACTTAAATGACAAACAGTTCCTTTGCCAAATTAGATCAGACGATTCTCGATATATTGATATCACATCAAATATATCTTCCAATCTCCTCGATTCTGTCTTTTGATTTCTCTTGGTGAGTACGAGTTACATTAGGTGTTACTGGTTAAATCGTTGTCAAACACTGAATGCCTGTGCCATCTTCAAGCTAATATATCACATAATTTAGATAAACATCTTCTTATTACACTATCAAAATTTATCAAAGAGACTAATTGCTTCAAATCTTGTTATTGCTCGAAGTAATTCAATGACCTAAGAGTAACAATTACATTTTATTTATTTATTGTAAAGTATTTTCATCTGATTTTGATATAACTATTTACTTCGGAAAAGAAAGTATCCCAAATCTGTAAAAGTTAAAATAAACCATGGATATAAATCGGTAATTAGTTATCAATTTTCTTTCTTCTTTTAAAAAGGATCAAACACGTATCTCCCATTCATAAGATTTGATAAATGTCCTTCAATGATGTGAACTTTTTGAACTAACTACAAAACCTTCGTTTGATATTTAAATTTTAGGTCACAAGATTAAATTAAGACAAATTATACTGAAATGAATTATCAACATTGGAGACTAAGGGAGATGTTTTATCCTTGATACGTTTCAAACTATGGAGAAACTATTGTGATATAATCATACTTCTATAAGTCTACTTAATATAGTCGTTAATTTATTAAGTCCATTCACAACACGTCTGGCTACGTCAATAAAAACTAATCACTTTGATTCAATATGTTGTGCCCAATAAGTATAATGACAGCCCTTTTTAGTTTATTTATACCAGTCAGTCATAACATTAGAAAATCCAGTTGAATTACTTGGTAATGAGATAGTGGAGAAGATTTGTAGCTCAGGTGGATGATTTTGATAGAGTTTTGTTCTCTGAGTTGGATGGTTTGGTCATGGAGCTCTCATCGTTTTCATGAACGACATCATCAGCAGAAACTTCAGGTAGAAGTGAATTATTCGAATTTCTTCACATATGGTTCATAGCTTGTCCTGTAGACCTTGATGTTGATGTAGTGAGAAGCCGTGATCAGTGGAGTTCAACCAGGTCTGTTGTGAAATAGTAACTCACTGAAGACAATGGTGGACGATGACGCAATTTCGTGGATTGGTTGAAGTTAGATACTAATACCGTTGGATGCTAGCTCAAAGGTCTAGTGGTTAAGTGTTCGCACACGAGACTGATAAGTCCTGGGTTCGAATCTCATGGGGCGGGATCGTGGATGTGTACAGCTGAGTCCCATACTAGGATGAAACGGCCGTCCAGTGCTTCCAGGTTTTTCGTGGTGATCTAGCTTCAATTGACTCATGAATTCAATTGCTAAATTACTGCAATCTCCACAAAACCCTTCTCTAATTTAACCGGTTATCAAATTTTTATTTAATTTTCAATACCTCTATAATTGAAGTCAGCCTGTAGTAAAAATCGGTTTCATTGTAATACTTATTCTAAGTATACCATGTAAGTTTATTAGAAAAAATATCAAAGCCTATACTGTTAGCCTAGATCTATTTCATTACATTTAATCATATTACAGTATTTTGTAAGTATCAGTGTTAAGGTTAAACTTGGTAGTTTCGAATAAACTGAGCATTTGGTAGAAAGTTAATGATAAATATATTTCTTATTGTATTTCAGTGAGTAGAAAAATTGTATTTTAGATGTTTCGTAACTTAGGGAAGGTCACTTCTTCAGAGAAGAATTCATAGTTTATCTTCATTCAGCAAAACATGATAATGAAGCTTAAAGTATTACCAGGAATAAGAGGTGATAGGATGCAGGGACTTTTTAACATCACTGACTTTATACTTTGTTGGAATTTCCAAGTTCAGGTATTTCTACCAACATTCGGTTCCGAATAAAGTATTGAACATTCACTACACCCGAGTTTCAGATTCATAAGCAGAGCATAACAACAGCTTCAACAAGATCGAATAAAATTTCTAAGTGGAAAAAGGTAAATGGTTTGGATATAGAGTTTTCAAGATTACAGTGAGAAACCATAATCAGTGTTTTTAACAAAGCTAGACATTTATCCAATTATGAAAGCGAATGAATATTGCTCTCCATGGTATAAAATGAATTCAACTTTCTGAACTGGTAAATGAATATTTACTAGCTGAACAATACATCATTTATTGTGGGACTTAAAGTATAAAACACTCATTTTGAACTTGGTAGTTGTTGAACACTGCTGATGAGTCCCAACTTATGGAGAAACAGCCAAAGAAGCGGCCTACATCAAGTCACGAAACGCCGGAGATACAATTATTTATCACATTATTACGTATATTGATGTATCCATATTGACAACGGGTTTATAACAGAGTTTCCAACAGCTAGAAAACACTGATAGTCTATTAAATTATTATTTAGAAATTATATTGGAAACTTTGGTAGTAAAATATAATTCTACTATTTACTATTATTATTATTATTATCAAGGCTGCAATTAAAATGAATCGTTTATACAAAGAATCAAGAAAATTAGCCAGACGAAGTCGAAATGAAAAGAAGCAAAGTTTGAAATTTTATCGAAAACATTCTAGCAAATTTAGAAGTAAACGAAACTCAACAAGAGGAACAGAAGAGGAAGAAAATGAAGAACCACCACCACCACAACAACAACAAGACCTAGAACAAACACTGAAGGATGAAGTATTACATAATCAAAATAATGAAACAATTACATTAGAAACAAAACTAACAAATCAATCATCAGTATTATCCCCTTTTCTGCCAGTTATTTATCCAAATGAAGTTGTATCATTAACATCTAAACGGAATACTTCAGAAAGTACTTTAAATGAGTCAGAATTTAAACAAGGCCAGATCAATACTGAATTGATTAAAGTAAGTTCATCATATTATGCATTAAATTTATTAAAAAAAAGTTAACCGCAATTATTTTATTGATTGTGTGAAACATAACAACAAGCAGGAGATAAGTATTTACTATGAGAAGTTACCAAGTATTTATATGAAATTTAATACATAACCCCTAATCATCCATTTACATCTTTCGAAGCGTTCTGCCATCTGAAGGGTCTTGTCGTTTAGTCTCTAAGTGTTCAGCCAACCCCGTGCATTCAATGCACTGGAACTAATCATTCTGTCTGACAATTATAAAAAATTCGATGTCACGTTCTACTACACACTACTTACAAACAATCTTGTGACTAGCGTCCATTAAAACTTTTGTATATAGGATAAATGGATTGTTGACAAGAGATATTGAAATTTATTCTCTTTTGTTTTCACTGGTTGAAATCATGAGTCAATTGAAGCTAGATCACCATGGGAAACCTGGAAACACTGGACGACCGTTTCATCCTAGTATGGGACTCCTCAGCAGTGCGCATGCACGATCCCACCCTCCACGAAATTCTAACCCAGAACCTGACAGTCTCGCGCCAGGCGCTTGAACATTAGATCACTGAGCTGTTCGGCATCCAACGGTGTTAATGTCTAACTTCAACCAATCCACGAAGTTGTGCCACCGTACACCATTGTCTTTTGTTTTATTGCTACAAGGATTGGAAGCTATTTTTATAAGTTTGAAAAGACGAATAAAAATATAGGGGTTTTGTGGAGACTGTTGAATTTTCATAATTTATTCCACGGACTGATTTTAGAATAGCAAGTCACAGAAAACTAGAAAACATCAAGCAGCTCTTTCATCTAAAACTACTCAACAGTACACGTCGGCGGTCCACTACGACCAGTGGAGTTTAATCATATCGAGTATGAGGCCTTGGAAGATAGTTGCACAATTTAGCGAATTGTTTGATGCTAGTAATATAAACTACTGGCTGCTAACTCAGTAGTCTAGGGGTTACGTGCTTACTGTGGTATTGAAAGGTTGTATGTTTGATTATCGGTGTAGTTTTGGAGGTACAGTGGTGTGGAATAGTATAATACGACAAAATAACTGTCCAGTGCTTCTTAGTTTTCAATAGTTATCCAACTGAGACCATTTCATTATGTGAACTGTAAAAAAGCAATTGACTTATAGATCATGGAAAAAAACTATTTTATCGAGTTGAAAATATCAATCAAAACTGTTTACCAGTCAATAATTAATGCCGTTTCAAGTTTTTTCAAAACTTCAGTTCATAGTATTTAAATTATTAGAATTATTATTCAAAAGAGAATTTAAAATTAATATCCTTCTTAAGTCTTTATTGTAATATGAAAGTTGGTCTGGATGCAATCAAATCATGACCTCAACCATTGAAATTACTATGATATCCACAAAACCCTTCTGAAAGTAATCAATATATGCTGACTAATGACTGGCTTCAAGAGGTATTTCCTGGAGTTCTAGTGAGAAGCAGTGGCCAGTGAAGTTCAACCGGGTCTGTTGTGAGATAGTAACTCACTGAAGACATTGCTGGATGTGTCGCTCAATGTCATGGGTTGGTTGAAGTTAGACATTAACACCGTTGGAAGCCGAACAGCTTAATACTCTAGTGGTTAAGCGCTCGCGCGCGAGACTGATAGGTCCTGGGTTCGAATCTCGCGGGGAGCGGGATCGTGGGCGCGCACTGCTGAGGAGTCCCATAATAGGGTGAAACGGTCGTCCAGTGTTTCCAGGTATTCCATGGTGGTCTAGCTTCAACTGACTCATGATTTCAACCATTGAAACTCAATAAAAATACTTTACACATTCAATGAATATATCCATTTATTACATAAAAATATGATGGTATATATAAATAAGGTGTGCATTCATTCAAATATGCGTCGAATAAATTAACTTGCTAATTCCTCTATACAATTAAATTGTAAAAAAAGGAAATCAGTTAACTAGATTATGTAATATGTAATTTGATCTTTTTCTCTAACAAGATTATAATCAATTAATTCACTTTTTTTCATAACTTCACTTGGTAATTGTATACTACTAATAATGGTAAGTAATTAAATTACCTTTGTAACCAGTTTTAAAATCATTTTACAGTTTGAGCGTTTTTGTTTCTATTAACAACAAAAAAATATATGTTCCTTAGAAGTTGAAAATGAATGTTTGGTTTTCTTTGTTAATATAAAATAAACATTTAATTTAAATCAGTGTAATTATCATATAGAATGTATTACAAATCTTAATAGTATGAAGATAGATTAAAAAGAATGTTTCAATAGTTGAGATCATGAATCAATTGAAACTAGACTATCATAGAAAGCCTGGAAGTACTGGATAGACATTTCGTCCAACTGTGGGACTCCTCAACAGTGCACATCCATGATCCCACCTCGCGAGATTCGAAACCCAAGACCTATTAGAAAGATCTAGCATGATCTACTAAAAATATAGTTTTCATGAATGAATTTGTGATATATAATGGTAAAAGTAAAACATGATTAGTTACTGCGTGTAGACAATCGGCCACGAGCTATGGACTATTAAAGATGTGATTTCTTATCCTTTTATTGATTTCTGCTCTGGACTCACTGAAAGTAATTGTTTGTAATTGTGTAGAATAAAAATATTGTCTAGTCTATGCTCTAGTTCTATATTCTGAGTTGTGAATCCTGGTTCTGACATATCGTATTACCATTATTATCGAAGTATACCTAGAGTGAGAAAATTAATTTAAACCACCCATTATATCAATTTGTTATTATTGTCACCTTTAATAAATATTTGAAATCAATATACTACTTATTAATTAAAATTTTCTAAGTAATATCATGACTGATTTATTGGTTTCTGGAAAATTCGTATTTACAGATTTCAAACAAAATCTCTCGAAAATTGAATAATCCAAAGTATCATTAGGATTGTTAAATAATTTAACGAAAATCAAATTAAACATTTTTCGTAACTGATTATCAGTATGACGCCAGATGATAGTATAATTACCCGGTTAACGTTTATTATAATTATTATCGTTTGGGATATTTTTAATAAACACGTTCGGTATTTTTTCACCTAGACGAGTTTCCTAGCTGTTTGACCTTTGGATAGTGATAGATTCTGTGTTAAGCGGAACGGTGGACAATGAATAGTACCGAAGTACAAATTCGTCTTAGTTGAATAACCACCGAAAATATGAAATCCCTGGACGACTGTTTGATCTTAGTATAGAACTCCCAAACAGTTCCCATTTACGCCTCCGCATCTTGTAGTCAAACCCAGGACCCTTGATCTCGCTCACGAACTTTTCAACTTCAGATCACTGAGGTATAGCTAAGATCAGTTCGTAATTTCAGAATTTGAAAATCCCACAAATCCCTCCCTATACCAATGAAGAGTTCAATTGAATTACACTGCAGCTGGTCACTGTCGAACAATAACACCGATGAATCAATCAATTAACTAATTGAATAATACCGTGAAACGAGATCAAGAGATTTACAGAAAATCTGCTGAACTCTTTCTAATGGGTATATTGGGCTTAAATTGACTTTGGATCCAAGAAAAATCAAAACAATATGCAATTCCAACACGTTGAATAAAAACTCATTGATAGATTTCATTTTTGTGTTTTGTAACTGTAAAATGCAATCTGTGAGAGTCAAAAACTTCAGTTGTTGATGAATTGCATAGAAATACCCTTAAATTTTAAATTGAATATGGCAATTTTGATTGAGAACGCCAATGAAACTTCAGGTCTATCAATCAAATAATATTCACAAATGAATCCACATTCACGATAGTTAGTGTTCAATCATCAAGAGTTAATCAAAAGTCAGTCATCAACCAAAGAGAAGCTATATGATGCTCGAACACCTATCAACATTTTTGAAATCTTATTTCACTAAAGTTACTAGTTCTCGCGTATTATAGGCTTTCTGACATATATGTTAATGATGGGCCTATATAGTGATTGGTTCAACAATGTTCTCTGGTAAGCTCATTTGAAATTTTGTTAAACTTCTTAGTGCCAGATTAAATACTTTCATCACTTCTGATTTCTTTGTAGTTTTCGCGAGTTGTGTAACGTGTTCCGTTTTGTACTCTCACCTAAAATCGTTAAAGTTGATTCGAAAATCAAATGTGTTTAATTTAATAAAACAAAAACCTCCACTCCGTAATTTCTTTCATTCTGAGTTTTTTAAAAAAACATTTTCATTATCATTTCCATTTTAGCCAAATATTTCATCATGGCTTGAAACAATAAATGAAGGGAAAGACGATCCTAATGATCAAGAATCAATGAAACCTTTAAAGCTCGACACTTCACGCTCTATACAACATCCTTTACAAAGGAAATATTCAATTTGTGAAAAAAATCAGACTCGTCAAAGTATCGCTTATTCAATTATCAGACATAGAGAAAACCAGTTGCGTAATTTAAAAGCAGCATTAAGTGAAGCACCAATAGCGTATCTATGGAATGATAATTTAAATAAAAGCACAACAAAATTGAAAACAAAATTCATTTGTTCAAAATATAAAGATATCAATTTACAAGCAAAACGTTGTATTCCTGGTTCTATTGGCGGTTTATCAAATTATTTCCTAGAAATTATTGCTTTACCTAAACCTGCATTGATTCGCTTCCCACCACCGACTAGTATGCATCAATATATACATAAAAAAATATTAGCTAAAGAGAAACAGCAAATGCAACAAAATTTGAATAGATTAAGTCATTTAACTGAAGAAATGAGAAGAGTTTCAGGTAAGTTATACCTTTTTGTATATCGTTACTGTCATTTTAATTAATGGTAATTTTGTCCAATCTTCAACTGAATTCAGTTTTAATTAACTGGTACAACTGACAATTCTGTACGTAATTATCACTTAAACACCATTGAATATTTCATTGAAATTACGAACATAAGTTAGATAACCATTGAGCATATGGAAGCACAGGATGGCCGTTTCGCCCTAGTATAAACTCTCCAGTAGTGAGCATCCACGACCTTGCATCCGGTAATCGAACTTAAGACACTCGGTCTTGTACTCAAACGTTTAAACTCTAGGCCAGTGAGTCGGCATCCAACGATATTAACTTTTTAAAATAACTCAATTGGTAGTTGCTATTAATAAATAGACATTATATATTATATCATGTTTATCTGCACATACTTGGGTTATTCCACAATAGCTAAACTTTTGAACTGAGTTGGATAGTAATTAGCAGTGGAATCCACGTTACGTCTTATTTGTGACTTGTTCCGGTGTGAACATTCGCATAACAGTGTAGTTACATCCGAAATGCTGACCGTCAACAGAGTAAAGTTTCGGTTACAGGATTAATGTTATTTTACAAATATCTAAAACGATATAGATTTTAGTTAAAAACTTGACAGATTGGAATATCAGTGTTAAGTTTTGCGTATAATCTATATCAAATCAAATAATGTACACCGATCAAATACAATGATCTAGTTGAAAATTGATACTCGTTATTAATAATACAAGAATAATGAGTAGCTATTATACTATAGTGTGTTATGAATGTACAGTTTCATGTAGAGTACTCACGATATTTATCAATTGTACAAGAATGGTGAATTTGCAGGAAAAACACTCACGAAACCCATCAGTATTTGTCTATTCATCATTATGTTTTTAGAAATCTATGTGTTACAAGTTAACATCATGCGGAAAACTGAAGTTAATGTGAAAGCTATTTTTACACTACATCTTAAAATTTTTATTTATTTATGAACTGTATTGAAAACGTAATCAGGACTGTCAGTCGTTTACATGATGAGTGCAGATTCTGGATCCATAGCCTCCTTCCGACTAACTATTTAACTTTAAATATCTGAAGTGTAATTTCAAGTTATATAATTTTTTTTAACTAGATTTAAAAATTGGTTAATAAAATCTTATCCGTACAAATAATTAGGCAATATGATATTAATACTATTTAAATAAGGAAATAATTTGAAATCAGTGGTTTTGACATCTTATTACCCAGCACAGGATCTAAAAGTCCAGAATTTCCAGAATAAAACAAGAACCCAAATTTCCCATCTAATGAGCCTTCTATTTCGATGTTTAGTGTTCACTAGAGTTAAAAACCAATAACAGATTATGTAGTGAACGAGAATACAATTAGGGACAATCGAATTTATTTGAATATAAAATTACAGAACGTCTTAGTAAAATCTGAGGACCATACAATAAATATTTCATTTGGAAAATGTCAATCAATCATCTCAGATTTCATTGTTCTTTCTTTCCCATACCAATCACTCTTTGTTCTCGTTCACTTTCTTCATTCTTCTTCGCTTTCTGTAACCAGACATTTCACTTTAGATTGATGATACATACTACTTATATCTGTCGACATCAGTAGCATACATTCCACAATTGGTATATATATAGAGGATACAAAGCATGCTTAAAAACCCTAAGATGAAACGGAATCAAAATTCAATTAATTTTTTTCTTGGAATTGAAAGTTGATTTCAATTGAAAATACTTGAAACAAAATAACAATATGTGAATTCTTATTTCTTTTATTGATCAATAAGCCGGCTAAATTAAATACCTAGATAAATTCAATTATTTCTTTTTCCCGCTAACGGATAAATTATCAAACAACTCATATTAAATTAACATAGTTAATTTCACTAGTTGAAATCATGAGTCAAATGAAGCTAGACCACTGTGGAAAATCTGGAAGCACTGGATGGCCGTTTCGTCTTAGTATGGGACTCCTCAGCAGTGCTCACTCACGATCCCGCCCCCCTGCGAGATTCGAACCCAGGACCTATCAGTCTCGCGCGCGCGCGCTTAGCCACTAGAGTATTAAGCTGTTCGGCATCCAACGGTGTTAATGTCTAACTTAAACCAATCCAATCAACATAGTTAATGAATTTAAAACAAAATGCTATATATGTATATATATAAACTGAAAATAATTCAAATTTAATGAGGCATTTTCAGTTGATGTAAATATCTACTGGTTAATACAATATTCTTATTAGATAGAATAATTAATTAAATTGAATATAAAGATGAAACATTATTTTACACTGTATTATTTCTTCATTTTATATTACAGAAGGTCAAAAATTGATAGCTGCATTAAAATTCTTACTGGCTTCTACAAGCAATGAGAAAAATGAAAATATTAAATCTGAAGGAATAAGAAATTAACAAGGAATAATGATCTTTTATCTTTGGAATAATAATTCATGACGTATAGTTGTGTGTGTACTTAGGTAATAACACACTTTAAAATGTTTTCAGGTGGTTTGTATCTTATATATATCGTTTTGTTAAGGTGAACAATCCATTCTTTCCTCTATGTGCAGCACTCAGACACTGAACGAATGGAAAACTAGCATTATTCACTGGATGCAACACACGTATTGAATATACAAAATGTTGTGAATAACCTCGATCGATTAAACAGTTAGAGATGTGAACAATTCAACAATGAAATTTCTTTGTTTCTTTTTTACTATTGAAGTTATATTAATAAAACAAACAGTAAAATATTTATTTGGACGACAGAAATACATAGATAGAATGTACCAATGTATGAACCTATATGTGTTCACACGATTAATACAAGTCCGTTCACAAAATACAGTGGGTGGTATTCAATCCGAGTCGATACATTTAATGAAATCCAATAGTCTGAGATTGGATCCATTTAGGTATGTTTATTAGTTAGTCCGGTGTGCCATCTCAGAATTTGTGATTGAATTATCTTCTAAATGTTTACATATAAAAACAGTATATTCTATAAATGTAAGATATATTACCTAAATATAAACAAGCATTTCAGGACGGATTTCATCATTAACTGAAAGCAAAACCCTTGTAAACTAAAGAAAAGTGAACTGTTGTCTCGTTCTAATTGGGGATTTCCTCAGCAACGCACAGTCAGATACCTGCACTATAATACAGCTCATAATCTACAAGTATCGTGATCAAAACAACGATAACATCGAGCGACGGAATCATACACCAGTGATTGATATTTTCATAGTCAACCGCCACCAAATGCCCTGGTACGGCCGAGAGTAGGGAGAGTCCGCTCTCCCTCTCGAAATGCTCTCACATGGCCACGCGTATATAGTCTCTGTCAGGGAAGTCCTACTCACTGCCTTCTCGTAGCGGGGGCGTTCTTTACGAAATTGAGAGGACGAAAAGAGAATGTCCGGAGCTCTAACCGGGTTGGTGGACATGGAGAGTCCACCTAGAGGAGTTGGAAAACTCTCATTCCAAATCAATGGTGCACATGGGCTCAAGTATCCTGAGGGAAAAAATGGTGTATGAACCAATCGTTGGTCACCCGCTACCATGGGACTGCATCTCCTTACGATGCTCCACTGCATTGTGGATCAAACCTTTAGGTCGAAGGCTTTAGGTGTGGCCTCCTGAGAAAACGACCTTCTTCGGTTTGTGCACCCAGGCGGTATCACAGCCCTCACACAAATCAAATGAGATTCGTGTGGCGCATATGTATATGGTGCTCTCTTGTACCAATATCTATATGTTCAAATAAATAAATGTCAACCAATTCGGAATAGATTTCCATCGTCATTTCATTGAGCTAACTGATCTGATGCAATACCTTTCTAGGCTACTGTTCACGATTATCCGTTGCCAGTCGTGATGTATCTCAGTAGTGTAAGGGAATTTCGTATTTTCTGTACCACTAAAAGGTAGTGGATTCGTGGATAGACACTACTGAGAAGTTCCACCTAAACTATGACAAAAGAATAGTCTAGTATTTTCTTGTTTACAATCATTCCGTTCTATCATAAGTCAGTCAATGATGAAATTTTATTTTCAAAAGGACTAAATCTCCATAAACTAGCAAATGTTTTTTAAATATTTTAGTTTATATTCATATTCTTAAGTGAAAATAGAGGTATGTGGACTCTATTGGAAAGCAATTAACATATCGGCAACGGATGTATCAGAAGTTCACATATAGGCATGTGATTTGTGCAGTTATAAACAATTGGAACCAAAACAAGTCTTTACTCACTATTCAACCACTTATTCTGTTTACATATCTGATGTGGGTCTAGATCTCCAGTTACGAGGAAGAGTTGGTGGTAGCTTGCTGGAGTTACTAAAATAGCATTGTCTGTAATTTGTCAGGCCGTTGACAAAGCGTAAAAAATATCGTTTCGTATAGAAGCTTCTTCATGACCTGATTGAACCTTTAGTCCAAGCAACACAATGGACGACCATTAGTCGAACAATTTTATTGCAACTGGTGATCAGTGCGAAACTGACACCGACTAAGTTGGATTACTGCGCAACAGGGTCGCCAGGTGACCACATATGAGTTATACTATATGAAATGACGAACAAATCCATAATATTCATCTTTAATACGGGTAAATCGAAGCTCATAGTGTTCCTCAGAACCTGCCTACTGTTTGGCTTGAACCTAGGTGAAAGTGTCAAATCTTTATGTAACAGTCATGGAGTGTACGAATGACATGATACTGTCTAGGTATCTAAACGATCAAGAACGGGAAAGCAGCGGGACCCGACAACATACCAGCTGAAGCACTGAAGTCAGGCATCGAAGTAACTACAAACATGCTTTACCTTCTATTCAAAAAGATTTGGGGGGAGGAACAAGTGCCGATGGACTGAAAAAGAAGAACACCTCGTCAAGATTCCAAAGAAAGGAGATCTGAGCAAATGTGAAAACTACAGAGGCATTACACTACTGTCAATACTAGGGAAGGTCTTCAACAGAGTGTTGCTGAACCGGATGAAAGATGCAGTAGACGCCCAACTTCGAGATCAACAAGCTGGATTCCGTAAGGATCGATCGTGCATAGACCAAATTGCAACACTACGGATCACCGTCGAACAATCAGTTGAGTGGAACTCATCACTATACATCAACTTCATTGATTATGAAAAGGCATTTGACAGTGTAGATAGGAGGACGTTATGGAAATTTCTCCGACACTACGGAGTTCCTGAGAAGATTGTCAATATTATCCGGAAATCATACGACGGACTACAATGCAAAGTCGTGCATGGAGGGCAGCTGACAGATGCATCCCGAGTAAGGACCGGAGTCAGACAAGGCTGTCTACTCTCTCCCTTCCTTTTTCTTCTGATGGTCGACTGGATCATGAGGACCTCGACATCTGAAGGAAAACACGGAATACAACGGACAGCTCAGAACCAATTAGACGATTTGGACTTCGCAGATGACCTAGTCCTCCTATCGCATACACACGAACAGATGCAGACAAAGACAGCCAGTGTAGCAGCAGTCTCTGCATCAGTAGGCCTCAGCGTACACAAAGGGAAAACCAAGGTCCTCAAATTCGAAGCGGAGAACGGCAATCCAATCACTCTTGATGGAGAAACTCTGGAAGATGTAGAATCCTTCACATACCTGGGAAGCATCATCGATGAACAAGGAGGCTCAGATGCAGACGTTAAGGCAAGGATTGACAAAGCAAGGACCGCATTCCTACAATTGAAGAACATATGGAACTCAAAACAACTTTCAACCAATATCAAAGTGAGAATCTTCAATATGAACGTCAAGGCAGTTCTACTGTATGGAGCTGAAACTTGGAGAACTACAACAACCACCATCAAGAAGGTACAAGTATTTATAAATAGCTGTCTTCGCAAGATACTCAACGTCCATTGGCCGGATACCATCAGCAACAGCCTTCAATGGGAGAGAACAAATCAGCTTCCAGCTGAAGAAGAAATTAGGAAAAGACGATGAAAATAGATAGGACCTACGTTACGCAAATCGTCAAACTGCATCATGAGGCAAGCCCTAACCTGGAATCCTGAAGGGAAACAGAAAAGAAGGTCAAAGAACACATTAAGTTGGGAAATAGAAGCAGATATGAAAAGGATGAATAACAACTGGAAGGAGCTGGAAAGGACTGGCCAGGACAGGGTTGGATGGAGAATGTTGGTGAGCGGCCTATGCGCCTTCATGAGGAATAACAGGCGTAAGTAAGCAAGTATATAAAGGATGTTCCTGAAGAACCAATCCAGAATGTCTAATCTACAAGACAGTATGACGGTCTAAATAAATCGAATCTAGAGGTCACCAGTGTTCAATACATTTCCTTAGAATCAACATTTCCAACTCCCATAGCACGAACCCCAAAAATATAAAACTGGACATTTGCTTTATAACTCACTTTCTTGGAGATATTGAATTATGTAAAAGGAATGGTTAGAACTTCTCGAGAGAAGATATAAATGCTAAGCCATTTAGAAATATTTTGAGGGATTGAAAAGTCTTATCAAAGTATATAAAGGTAATTAGTATCCATGGAGTAAAAAGCATCACTGAATACAACCGTGTATTTAAAGTTGTCTAGTAAAACCCTAGGACGTCACATATATATAAATAAACAAAGAAGTTTAAGGTGTGTACAGTGGATTTCAATGAATCGATGATTATTAATCGTTATATTAATTGAAGGATGTTCCCAAAATCTTCGGTGAACAGGGCAATAAATATCAAGACTATTAACATTAGCACACATGGGAAATATCCCATCAGTAAATGTGATAGCTATGATCGTCTTCATTTTGCAAAATACTACATAAGAAAGTTTCATCGGACGACTAAAGTAACTCCAAAATCATCTACGTGAGAACTACTTATAGTTCCAAATATGTCATCAAAAGTAGTCATTCCTGAAAATTCTTAACGAGAAGGTTTTATTTGTGTACAAAACTAGACAAGCGGTCTTCAATAAAAAAGTAGGTGACCAACAACAGAAGTGCTAGGTGTTTATAATTAAGATATTTACCAATGAAAAACTAACGACAGGCAAAGAGCACCACTATCTACATATATATTGACCTATATTATATAACAGACTTAGTTGCAAAAACTCCCGTTTCACAGATCGATGGTGAAAACTCACAAACAAAATAATCAGTATGAGATTTTTTGACTTGACTGCAGTTTTATTATGGACTGACTTTACCCGGGCAATCATTGGAAACTTGAGAGCAATGTATGTGGTGGAACTACTCCTAAACTATGCACAAGCACGACCCTGCCAGGGATCGGACCAAGTATCTTCAGATCTTGTTGCAATAGTTTAGTGGGATAGAACCCGAGACCTCAACAAGTGCGTTGCCTTTAGATCATCATCTATATTGATGGTCAATGATCTAAATTCACGGATTCAGTTGATCCTCGAAATTGTAGTCACCGTTTATTTAATATTCAACACTTGAATAAAAATTTAGAAAACAATGGTCAACATAGCTGAACAGCCTCTTATTTATTTATTTAAGGAATTACTGTTTGAAATTGGTCAGTAGTGAGAATAATTAGTATTCAGTAATTTCGAAGAATGGGACAGAAAATGATCGGTAACAGCCAACGAAGTATCGACTCATAAAAAGTAAATTCTACTGGTTCAGCACTAATTCACTTGTTGAAGAATAGGGCGGATAATTCTAACTTTAGAAGCTATCTCGTTTAAACAGTGCACAACACAATACTCACAATTAAAATGTGAGATTTTAATTATTCAGTAAGTCAATTTTTACAGGAACACAACAATTATACACATATTAGAAGAATAATCACTACTAATACTACTAATATCACATCAAAGAGTATAAGCGATTGAAATCGAAACGAGTAAAATTACAAAAAAAACAAATAAAACAATGCATTATAGATGAGAGTGTACTTCAGTTGTAACTACACACGTGTTCTTCTTGTCTTGACACACTTTCACTTTTGAAGTAAACAACACCCATAATCATAATCATAACATGTTAAATAAAAACTAAACAAATACAAAGAAAATATTACCACACTACTAAGGACAATGATGTGAAAGTAAAACAAATACACTGTAACAAAAGGGAAGACAATGATATTATTGTTATTTATGCATATGTATGCATTACAACAATTAGAGAGGACTATAACACGGAAGTAAAGATTTGATGTTATTGTTGTAAATAGAAAAAATGTATAGCACTGTATAAAGAACAGCATCAGTCTATAATCTATTGTAAATGATGGAGAGAACGGATATGTAGATTGTTGGGGGGGAGCGAAGGGATCAGAATAAATTACTAGATTTTAGGTTTACATCGGAAGGATTGTGTAATTTAGGAAACGTATACAGTCATTGCTTTTCTTAATAGTATAAATGATATCATTTATCCGATAGATGAGATCATTTAATTGTAAATGGGAGAAATATACATATACATAGTACAATAGATTACATTAAGAAGTCATAAAATTCATGTTAAACAAAATGGATATCAATAGTAATTGTTGTATGTATGTTAGATAGAGGTATAAAAACAGTAAGATAATGCTCACAGTTTCCCAGCCTAAAGGGAAGCACATAAAAACATTACAATAATTAACAAAAAATTACTAATGATATATATCGGTAATAAGATGAGATGTGGCCGATAGACATATGATTAGTTAGAGAGAGTATGGAAGTGTCGTACGGTGTAATATAATGTATATTTGTATAGATAAAAGACTGAATGTGCATACAGAAGAAGAAGATAAAGACAATGTACACGATGAAATTACCATCAGAGGAAGGAAAAAGGCATGGAAAGGTTATGTAAACAGAGTGCAGAGAGATACTGCCTCACATGTTCATGGACAAAGACGGTGAAAGAACCATATGTCGGAGTAAGTGTGAGGAAATGCAAAATACAAACAGACAAACAAAAGAAATAACCTGACGTTTATCATTTCTTTTGCATATGGGAAATACCTGTGTATCCTTCCTCAGAATATATACATATATATTTATAGTAGTTTGGATATCATAGTGTATGTCTGTGTAAAATGCATACAGACATTCATATTCATTAGCAGTATAATGAGAATTTTTCAACCGTCTGCTTTTGGGGGAGTGTACCAACCACTTTCTTCGTGAATCTGAACTAGACCACGATAGGAGAGTTGAGCTCGGCGCAGTGAATATTGATCCTATTAAAAAAGCAAAGACTTGATTTGACTGTAAAATGAAGATAGACTATTGTTATAGTGATTTCGAAATTCTAATCATAAACATACAGTATTGAAATGCATAAATGTTTGAATTTTCCATCCCCTTCATACAGATATATTTATATGCTGATCAGTGGTGGAATAGCGGATGCATTTCTTTTTCTTAATGAACTCATCAGTTAATTGTATTAGGATTTGAGAATCCCCCATGGAATGTCGGAACACGGGGAAAATAGTACGATATTTCGAGATATTCATCCGTATCGAGCATAAATGTTAAAGCAGATTAATCACTCTGATCATACATTTCGCCTACCCTACTTAGTCTACTATATATAACTAATATTAGTTTGGGTTTCAGGGAATGAATTAATCAAAAATACAGAATAATTAAGCGAACAATTGTTTTCAATAACATCATCATCAGGCTCTACAGTTATAAGTCCATAATTATAATATTTTACGAAGGCCAAAAATAAGGCATGTATTAATGAATTTGACAATGTTACGTGTTAAAAAAAGGGTAAACGTTTGCATCTGTTACGATATATATATATATATATATATATACTTTAAAATTGTATTGTTTGACAAATTAGAAAGGTCATTCAATAAAGGTCAGGATGATTTGGAGTAAAGTGTTCAGTCACCATAAGTATAATAGTATGAAAATGCAAAAAAATTGTGTGAATAAAATGCATAGTAGGAGAATTTAATCTTGTTAATTGAGATAATAATAATAATAATAAGATTGTTGTGTGAATATAATATGTAATAAGGGGGTGTTATCAAGGTAATTACGAGCAACGAATTAGGAATGATGAATGTGAAGATTAAGATAGAGATAATAAAAAATAATGATAAGGAAAATAAATGAAATAAAGGAAGGGGGTAAGAGGTTTATAATATTCAGTCTAGGTATTCGGTGATCCAGTGGTAGGCCACGGTAAACATAGAGGCTGGATATATTTTTTCTGGATACATAAATTAGGTCTTCTGGAGTTGATCCAAATGGCTTCGGCTATGTAAAGCAGTCGTAATCTGGCTCCTTGAGGTAGATATTTTGGAACTTGATATAAAACAGAGAAAGCTTCCTCTATTTTGATATGATGCTCACTATCTACCAAGTGAGAAAAAATGGTGCTGTTAATCGATTTGGTAACTCCTTTTCCCAACCAAGCTGGTACATGTTCACGAACACGCAAGGACAAAGCCCTCTGAGTATGGCCTATGTAACTAGCTCCACAGGAGCAGTTGAATTGGTATACACACATGGAGAAGCCCATCTTCGGTAACTTATCCTTGATTAGTTGTGTGAGTACTGGTTTAGTCGAGAAAATTATGTGTAACTTGGCGGCATGAAACGTCCTTTCGACAGATCTTTTGAGTCGACGTGTTAGAATATCACCCGCTATGTCCCCTTTATAGTTAAGTCTCAGATATAAAGTCTTCTTACTGACTGTGTCGCAATGTCTTCTTTTTTTATTAGTATTTTGTACGAGGTATTTTTTGACGAAATTATCAGGATAGCCATTATTTCGTAATGTGTTCCTTAGTATATCTATTTCATCATTCACACTGTCTTCAGAACATAATAACTTGATTCTGTGGTTGAGACACTTAACCAGCTTTGGAAATGGGTATACTGACCCGTCCATGTACTCTTTCTAAATATATTTCGCTTTATGGAACCATCTATCCTTCTAGAAAGTAGGACATCCAGAAAAGCTATACTATTGTTTTTCTCCTCCTCGCTGGTGAATTGAATGGCTGGGTGGACATTATTGAAAGCGTCTAACATCTCCTGTTTGTCGATAATTTCATCACATATGATTAGTGTGTCATCTATGTATGGACAATAATAATCAAACTTATTTAGGATGCCTTTAAGCGGTCCATTTTCTAATTTCGTCAGAAATATATTAGCAAGGATCGGGCCAAGAGGTGATCCCATCGCTACCCCATCTACTTGTCTGAAGAATTCATTGTTGAACTTAAAGTGGATATTCATAGTGCATTTCAACAGAAGTTATTTCATTTTTAAAAATATGAATATAAATGGCGAAACCATGCTAACACTACACATAACATCCTTGTTCACTAACATCACTCTGACTGAAACTATCGATTACATATGTGAACAACTGCTAGAAAAGAAAATAGAGATACCAATCCCAGTTATTAAAATGAAAGAACCACTTAAAAGCATCCTAAATAAGTTTGATTATTATTGTCCATACATAGATGACACACTAATCATATGTGATGAAATTATCGACAAACAGGAGATGTTAGACGCTTTCAATAATGTCCACCCAGCCATTCAATTCACCAGCGAGGAGGAGAAAAACAATAGTATAGCTTTTCTGGATGTCCTACTTTCTAGAAGGATAGATGGTTCCATAAAGCGAAATATATTTAGAAAGAGTACATGGACGGGTCAGTATACCCATTTCCAAAGCTGGTTAAGTGTCTCAACCACAGAATCAAGTTATTATGTTCTGAAGACAGTGTGAATGATGAAATAGATATACTAAGGAACACATTACGAAATAATGGCTATCCTGATAATTTCGTCAAAAAATACCTCGTACAAAATACTAATAAAAAAAGAAGACATTGCGACACAGTCAGTAAGAAGACTTTATATCTGAGACTTAACTATAAAGGGGACATAGCGGGTGATATTCTAACACGTCGACTCAAAAGATCTGTCGAAAGGACGTTTCATGCCGCCAAGTTACACATAATTTTCTCGACTAAACCAGTACTCACACAACTAATCAAGGATAAGTTACCGAAGATGGGCTTCTCCATGTGTGTATACCAATTCAACTGCTCCTGTGGAGCTAGTTACATAGGCCATACTCAGAGGGCTTTGTCCTTGCGTGTTCGTGAACATGTACCAGCTTGGTTGGGAAAAGGAGTTACCAAATCGATTAACAGCACCATTTTTTCTCACTTGGTAGATAGTGAGCATCATATCAAAATAGAGGAAGCTTTCTCTGTTTTATATCAAGTTCCAAAATATCTACCTCAAGGAGCCAGATTACGACTGCTTTACATAGCCGAAGCCATTTGGATCAACTCCAGAAGACCTAATTTATGTATCCAGAAAAAATATATCCAGCCTCTATGTTTACCGTGGCCTACCACTGGATCACCGAATACCTAGACTGAATATTATAAACCTCTTACCCCCTTCCTTTATTTCATTTATTTTCCTTATCATTATTTTTTATTATCTCTATCTTCATCTTCACATTCATCATTCCTAGTTCGTTGCTCGTAATTACCTTGATAACACCCCCTTATTCATTAATACATGCCTTATTTTTGGTCTTCGTAAAAGATTATAATTATGGACTTATAACTGTAGAGCCTGATGATGAAGTTATTGAAAACAATTGTTCGCTCAAATATTCTTCATTTTTGAATATTCTATGGGGATTTTTAAACTGCGATTGAATTATTATACATAAAAGTTTAATAAAATCAGTATAGTGCGTTTGACTGACAGCCGATACTAATCAATAATGTCACAAGATAAAAGCATTCTCTCAGGACCGATCATTAAGCGCAGATTTAATGAGGGATATATATATATATATATATATTTACATAGTTGGTAATTAGTATACTGAAAGCAAACATATCGTCGCCGATCACTATATAATAACTAACATTATTACATTTCTATTATCATTTCTGGCTTATTACAAATTTTCATATGAGGACCATTTAATGTGATTAGTAAAAGCTAAATAAGCTTTCTGGATCTATGATGATGCTTCTTTAGCCACTGACTCACTAGGGTTGATGAGACCTATATAGGAATGTATTCAAGTGCCTTATTTGCTTTACCTCTCTTATGGTTAAATTAGGTGCTGATTTAGAACAATCCTGGAGTAACACTCATCATTTAGATAGAAAGAAACTTTTTGTGGACAATCTTATGATGTCAATTAACGACGGATAGAAGGCTTTATACCTTATCAACATCTTTGACAAACATAACTGTATCAATTGCAAGTCATAAGTCAATGAATACCAGGTAGGAGACTAGTTCCTGAAAAGTTAGGCGAAAAAAATTGTTATTTTTAAGAGCCTTCATAAGGTTATGTTTTTTTCGGGATGCAATTCAATGATAAACACAGAGACAAGATATATCCGTTGATTTAATCAATACATTTAGGGCCATACATAAAGACTCCTTGATTTCCCCCGATTTTTGTGTTTTTGAGCTCTAATCAAGCGCTCTGGTTGATTATCAAAATCAGTATTTTATGAACAATATTTATCAAAACCTTTTTTCTGTGATTGTCACAAAGGAATCTCTGACCTGCCTCATAAATCAGAGAGATTAGTGATCGCAAATAATTGGACAGAATAACATCCACCATCCAAACACTAGAAAATATACAATCTAACCGTTAAAACTGAACCACGATCTTAAAAGACAATCTGAGTTAATTTATCAGGATTAACTATTTCTCCCTGCTAAAAGTAAATTATAGAATTTTTGAAGGGAGAGTCACCACAACTTCAACCGCCCTGGTACGGCAGAGGGTGGGGGGAGTTTTCTCGCCCTCTCCAAATGCGCTCACATGGCCACGAGTATACAGCCACCGCCAGGGAAGTCCCCACTGCATTTTCGCGGCGGACGTGTTGTTTAAGAGATTGAGAGGACGCTAAAAGAATGTTCGACGCTTTAACTGGGTTGGTAGACACGAAGGGTTCACCTAGGAGAGTTGGAAAACCCTGATTCCAAATCAGTGGTGCACATAGGCTCCATGATCTTAAGGAAACAAATGGCGTATGAACCTATTATTGGTCACCAGCTACTACGAAACTGCATCTCCTTACGTTTCTCCACAGCCTTGAGGATTACGCTTTTAGGTCAAAGGCTCCGGGTGTGTCCCCTAAGAAAATCACCTGCTTCGGTTTGGGCACCCGAGCAGTGTCCCAGCCTAAAAACAAACCCAATGATTTTTGTGGCACAAAAATAATTTGGTGCCCTTTCGTACCAATATTTATGTGTTCAAATATAAAAATCAATAAAGAGCAATCAGAAAAAGCAAGACAATAAAAAAACAACCTACATCTGTTGCGCTAAAATTTATACGTGCACGACCTTTCACTAAAGTTGCAGCTATTTGCATGATAGATGATTCGATATCATAAGCGCTTGACCAACCTTGTTTTGTAAATAATTCCATGCAAATTGCTCCACCGGCTAAAACATAACCATTTTCAATCACTGGATAAAGAATACGGACAAATGGTGGCTCAAAAGGATATGTTTCCTATTTAAAATAAAAATTACTACAATTAGAATGAAGAATGTGATACAAAATATGATCTGGTATATTCTCATAAAGCACATAAAGAAAGTTGGTGGATTTCTTCTCACAAAGCACTAAATATGATAATAAACTGAGATTAAGCATACATTTGAAATCATTGGAATAATGGACTGCTGAGGAGTCCCATACTAGGACGAAACGGTCACCCGGTGTTTTTAGGTCTTCAATGGCGTTGTAACTTAGATTGCTTCATTATTTCAATTACATTCAACAATACCCATAACCCCTCATATAAAAACGTTCGAGAGTCATGATTAGTTGACTATAGTTTAGAAATCAAGACAATATTCAACTCGAGAGAATCTGTTTTAAAAATATTAAAAGGGACAAATGTATTATTTGGTATTCGCATTACCAAATAATGTATGTAAGAGAGAAAAAAGAACAGGAATTCAGTGCGTCACTTGAAAACATAGAAGTAGTATTAATAACTATCTGTAAGAGAATCAAACGCCACCGTGATATGAAGGTATACCTACTTATCTAATGAAAACAAGTCATCTCGGTCTAAAATGTAAATCTCACTAAATAAGCGTAATACATAGAGCTTGTTATTTCGTACGAACAATAAGATTGATTCATTTAAGAGGTTACATGTTGATTGAGCGGCCTATGCTCCTCCACGTGGGGTATGTATGTAAGTAAGTAAGTATATTGGTACAGCGTTATTTAGTCTGCTTCTAGAATAAAAAACACACTTCAGTGCGATTTATGGGGCTAAAAAACTACTGAGGCTTGTATATTCCTAAACTTTGGACCATTTTGCAATCCGAGGAAGAATTTTAAAAGGTTTCCTACTCCTGGCTTATATCTTATATGAAAGAGAAAAACCATTGAATTATATGTGGTTTCAAAAAGAAAACAAACATTAGATAGGAAGTGAGATGTATGGATACAGTATCAAATGTGACCAATGATAAACAATGGCACTTTATTAGAACTACGTTAATCAATATATATATACGGTTACATGACAAAACACTGTAAAATGTATTTTGCATGAATAAGAGATCTACTATGTAGCTACTCATGCCAGTGGTAATATTGAATGCTTCTAGATGTGCCTAGGCATTTGACCATTCCTGACTGCCCACATGGTGAAATAATATTACTTCGTGATAAAACTGAGAGATGAGGACAGTATTAATTATTTCATTGACCTGGGAGAGTTACAGAAGCGACAAATGGACAAGTGCTGATCACCTGTGATCTACTGGTTGAAAACCGAATGCCTTGACTACTAAAACTACGAGTTCACCAAAACTCATTTACAAACTTATGTGTATGCTGTGATCTGTCTAGCTGTACATATTAAACTATTAGTACAACGCAAAATTCTCTTCAAATGAAATTATACTAATCTATCTTATATATATATATATATATATATATATATATATATATATATATTTATATATATATATATATATCATGAAACCTCTTGATTGCGAACACCAAATTTAATGCTTTGTTCTCTATTTATGCATAGCTTTTCGATAAGTCTTGTCGATTGAACACTATATTCGTTTTCCTAAGCTATTCTGGTAACCCGCAGGCTAGAGCTACACAGCGACCTGAACACCAGAAAGAAGACGCAAGTATGAGAAAAATACTTTACGCCAAGGTTCGTTTATGTACAGAAACCATGGGTATTTATAGATGTTAACGTTTGTTAAATCAACATCATATTTCAGCCAATCCGTTAGCGACATATTGTGCTACTGACCAATAGTAGCACGCCACGTTGGAATCCTAGAATGCTCCATCGTGCTGTGATTGGCTAGGACTCTTCGGCTCCTTTTGGGCTTCTAGAGGCTCCGTTGAAGTCCTCCGAAAGCCTACTCAACAGTTTTTTTTGTGGTTAATATTAATTTCTTTAGATAGTGTACCCAATCGCAACACGTTGGGAAATACGGTATAAAACTAGCACCACAACCCTGAATACAAGAGGCCATGGTTACGACTTAATATTGGCTTCTCAGGTTAAGTCAACAAGATTACAAATTCCATTTTAGTAAACGCAAAGTTAAAATGCAATAGCACACCCCACCCTCCAAAGACAAAACTTTGGATCATTTTTCATCTAACATGGCGTCTTTAACAACATCGTTCCGACATCTTTGTCTGAACAACTCGATGAAAAATGAAACACCATGCATATCTTTTACCTGCATTATCACTCTCAACAATCAAATGGAGGTGAAATAGTTTGTTAGAACTTTTAAATTAGAGCTTACCAAGAGCTGGGAAGAGTAAACGATGAAATTTTAAAGTTTCTCCTTATGCCGAACCAAGTGATACCTAGAGGAGCCTTATTGGAAGAATTGTTTATGGACAGAAAGAAATGAACGGAATTTGACACAACTTTCAATAAAACTGCAACTATTATCCATCTCAATTGCTAAATTCATGCTTGAAACCAAGATGTATGCAAGAGACTATTGTCGTCAGCATAATTTGATAGGAAATTTAGATAATCATCAAGGGGCAGATTTTGATGAAGACGTAATATGTCATTATACCTAAACATCTACCGGGCCCTTTACAATTTGAATAGTAAAACTTCATCTCGTGAAGCAACCATATATGTAGAAAGAAACCTATTGAATCTGATGATACAGTACTGAATGTCCAAACAAACAAAACATAAAATTTATGGCATTAATAACAACTAACTTTGAATAGAAATTGTAATCCTAAATGATCTTCTAATTTGGGATGATTTGTAAGTTCCTGAAGATCTTTATGCAATCCACTGTCCTCATCAACTCTTTTGAAAAGTACATATAGAATATAAAAATAAAAAAATAAACTGAATTCCTAACAAAATTAACGTATAAAATAGTCATTAAAGCTGCTTAAATGTATGTTCTTAAATATCATATCTTTGAAGACAAAGAAGTATGTTCACAATACTTTAGTTATGAAGTAATATGAGCTGCTATTTAAAGATGAGTCAGCTTTATATAAGAAATAATCAGACTACTGATAGTTATATTATTCACCTGAGTCAGATTAGTTGACTTCTCGGTCAATCAGTCAACATAAGGCCTGGTATAAATGTATCTTGGTCTAATTTCCCATACAACGCCAGTACAACGGGATGAAATCATAGTAGTATGTCAGTTATATAGAGAAAGAATAAAGTTTGAAAAGAATAGATAAATTATAAGTTTAAGAGTAATGAGATCAGAGAATGTAAAATACAAGCTATATAATGGTTGAATTGAGATCGGTTTACAATCTTTGCAAAAATGACGCTGTATGAACAGTAGTATTGTCCTCAGTTTATTCAAGTAACATTGTGCTATAAAAATGTTTACTTCTCAGATGTCCAATGATCTCTTTAAGACTTTGTACAAATATATAAAGCGACAGTGCAGTTGTAATGCATGTTACTTGTATTGACAGATACAAGTAGTATGTAACACCGATCAAAACTGGAAGGTCTGTCAAAGGACGGTTGAGAAAACTGAACTGAAGGAAACAGAAAGGAATTGAGAAGTAGGAGAATCATGAAGGACGTAAAAGACAATTGATGAAAGGTTTACAGATAAAGTATTTAATGTATGGTTTCACATTTTACCAAAAAACTGCAATTTTGCGTTAGATAATAGATTAGTTATCCTCATCAAGTCTTCTTTCACTACACAGTTAAGCAAGTTTTAAACATTATTTTGTAAACTAATTCAACAACAAAAATTTCAGGGATAAGTCTAAAGAAAGCATGAGCTAGTGGTCGTAGTTAGAATCTAGTTTCCGTAGGAAGATGTTTTAAATTTATAAAAAATGAAAACTACAACAATTCCAAAAAAATATTTAGTAACCAAGAAGCTGTTAACAAGATTTTTAAACCGAAGTTGTTATTATCGCTATTACTGTAATTATCATTTATCTCGTACAGGAACTAAAAAAAAATAATTAAGTTAATATATTCGGGATAGTAAGGTGAGTTACTATAGTCACACCTATATACATTCAATAGACGAGACTATATAATAGTGTAAATTCATCTCACTAATGATTTCACTCGGGATCCACTCCATGTTGACTGACTGCAATTTGTGTCAATAAACTAAAGTTTGCATAATGTTTCCCAGTCATTGCTTGGACTTTGACTACTGAGTAACACGTGATCTACTTCCCAGTCTATTATCTGGTGATCAAGTACGAGTGGTCAGTTGTCGTATTATCTGGTATGGCAGTTATCTTATTGATAGTGTATCATATAATGTTTAAGCGTAGGATTGAGTCAAGTACCAATTATTTTCTGCGTTATATCACAAGCTTATGAATGCAGGGCGGAAATGAATAGATTCTTAAATTAATTAAATGATTCATTTCTGTCCTCCTTTCTTTGAACATCCATCGTATTATTTTGTATGAAAGGTCGTGAGGTATCATGAAAATAAAAATTTGTTACACAACAGTAGATATCCCGAACGCAGCTGCCATTTTGATGTGGTGCTCGGGCATACCTATCTTGATGATTCAACCGAGCTATATTAGCTGAAATACAAGTTTTTTAGGTTCTAACATGCCAGGAAGGTCGGTTAGAGATCGGCAAGACTAAAAGCAGCAACCTAAGGTACGAAGAAGTACTGTAGAAAGGTGTGACGGCTGTAAATGTTTCCAACGAACAGCCAGTATCTAAAGAGATGTTGCCATCTTACAGCGGAAGGCAGAGGTTAGAAAAGATCGACTCTGAAAATGTTTCACCCCACCTTACACCATGGATTTCTGTCTCAGTCGGTGAAGTTTTTTGCAGTACAGAGTTAAAACATGAAAAACGTCTCATAAAAAAGGTGTGCACGACCGACCACAAACAGTTGTCCGTTGAGCTCTGCGATCACGCTTCCAGGTCACTAAGACCACAACTAATCCGTCTTCCTTTTGAGATCCCTCAAGAGGAAATATCCTTCGACCGTGTAGGAAGCTTACAAGTGACAACTGCCCTCATACCTCTAACAGATGTACGTACGTACCACATTCCACGATGCTTTTGACTAACCATAGTAGATATTAAGAGACGTATAACTGTAATGCTTAGGTTTCATTTAATGAATTGATTTCATATTCTGACCTTCATGATGTCACTGATCGAAGTATATTAGCGAAAGAATGAATAACAGTTACTTACCACTTGATTTAACGGAGCAATTTTGTCATCTAATGCTATCTAAGTGTAACATTACATTGTCGTTTATCAATACGACGTAGATGTTTGTACCTGTGAAGCCAGTTTAACATTTTATTTATTTATTTGAACACATAGATACTGGTACATCAGATACATATGCGCCACACAAATCTTGTTTGAATTGTGTGAGGGCTATGATACAGCTCGGGTGCCCAAACAGAAGCATGGCCAGTTTAACAGAATTATGGTAAATAAAACAAAATGTAAGCAAGATCAAAATACGCTTACTTGTATAATTTAACTTTCCAATTATAAAGACTGTCATTTTGTAGTTCAACAGTGAAAATACCTAGGAAAAAGAACAAATGAATAAAATAATTTGAAGTAGTAAGAAAAAAACTGAAATAAATTGTTTGGATGTGATGTTTGTTGGCTTTGATGAAATAAGCAACTTACTCGATTATGATTAATCTCGAAATAAAATTCATTCATTTTATGAAGTGAATAGGCAGACACATAATGACTAAATATATGCATTTATTGTTGACGTTTAATAACTTTAGTCAGTCATTGTACTATAAGCTGTGCTAAAACATCCACAGGCATACGTAACGTATTTATGACTATTGAATCGGTTAATTGCATACTGTAAAGATAAATGATGCTTTTTAAATTAAAACAAGAACCAGTTATAAAAAAAATTAGATTAAAAACAAGAACCAACCAGTCAATAAATATATTTTTTTGTAATAAAAGGTTAATGATAATAGCTCACCTTGTTTGTAACTGTCTGATCGATAAATCTCTCTTAGCTCTTTCATCAAACGGTCAGATGATTGAATTGAACCCTTAGTAATTCCCTGAAGAAACAATAATAATAATAATAATAATAATAATAATAATAAACGTTAGTAGAAAGTTGGCTAATATAAATAACAGAAGCGGAGTGAAGTACACCAATGAATGGAGTAAGCCTGTTATATATAATCAACGTAGCGCCTGATACGAATATGCGTTTGTCTAACTTTTCATACTACATTCGCACGATGAAATGAATTTTTATCACGAAATGAATGATGAAGTAACTAAAATAATGTGAAAACGATGATAATGAAAGACTGAGCATTAACAATGTTTTAAGAAAAGGAGTGAAATGTTTTGTATGAGGGAATACTGAAATTCATGTTCCACAGAAAGATTAAGTGAATGCATCTAGGCTATTTTTATTTGTTCTGAGTTGAGTCACAAAGTATTTCTAACAACTGGTTGGAGTTATCGCGTGGACCCCTAGTCAGTTAGTCTGCACCTACCTACACACAGACTAACTGTCCGATACTGAATTAAAGAATCATCAACAAATTTATTTTCTTCAGAGTACATTCGGCAGAACAATGCACAGAATATTGAGAGGTATGCCAAAGGCTTTATAATAACAAGGAATGATTTCCGCCACAAGCCGGAGAATGATTGTGGAGGGGTAGCTTAATGGACTAGAGCAACTGCTAGGTAACAGGCTTGAACTGCGCTTAACCTAGTCCCCCATTTGGACAATCGATTTATCATAGTGGTAATAATAATGGCCTTACTCAATATTATATGTTTAGTAAGATATTTTAACAAGTTCATTTACTCTTCATAAACTTCACAATACATATTCGTTTATATACATAAAATTATATTAAATTAAATGAGATTTTCATAAGAAGTGAAAAATCTTCACAACAGTGAACTGTCTGCAAGTTCAGGAGTGTAAGTGTTTGGTCAGGTTAGCTTTCAAAGTCTGTTTATTACATAGTATATGCGCTAGATATGGTATCGTCGAGTTTTTGTACTCTTCTTTGTGTGCATGAATTCTACTTTGACTGAGTCTTACTCTCCCAGAAGATAGAGAAGTATCACTAGGCTCCATACACACACACACACACATAAAAGTGGGAATTCAAAGCTGAGTTTACTATCCTATACTCGATCAATGTGAGTAGGATTTGAAAAACAAATGAAATTTTCATAGTTATGAAGTAACTACATCTTCTTACGACTTGTATCACCATAGTCATATGATCCAAAACTAAAAATAGTTTTGAAAATTAGGTTAAAGAGAAACGGTAATTTAATTTATCCAATCAACAATCGGAATGGTCACTAGTGATACAAAAAAATATTAATGGGATAATCTCTTGAACGCTCAATAAAAACATCCCCGGTTGGTGTACTTAATTCTCATCTATGGGGATATACAACATTTGAATGTTAGAGAATTTCCTAACAATCATACGTTTAAAAGTAAACAAACTTTCTCTACCACACAATTGCAGTGATGGTAGATCATTCATCAATTAATGATTTTTACAATGATTGTACAAATGATTTTAATAATTGTATGGTTCTCTTAGAACAAATTCCATTCAGAATAGTTTTCTTAAAGATCAGAAAACCATGAATAAACAAATTTAGAAGAGATGACAAATAACTTTAATTGAGGTTCGAAATTTCAGCGACCAAATAATGATCAAGTAGTACTGTATTTACTTTGGTCCCAGGATCCCAATTTTTTCGAACAATTGACTTAACTGATTCCATTGAGAAAAGAATCATCAAAGTACTCAGAGATCTTCTGAAAAAGAAGATGATCGATAACTTTACTTACAATAATCTACGACCTCGTGGGTCTCGTTTGCCCCACATGTATGGATTACCGAAAATACATAAACAAGGTTATCCTCTTAGACCTATTTTGTCAATGATCAATTCACCATACCACAAAGTTGCACGATGGTTGGCAGATAAGTTAGAACCAGTGCGTCAACGATTAGCCACCTATACACTAAAGGATTCATTTGTATTTGCTGACAGCATGAATCACATAAATATTGCCGGTAAGTTTATGGTTTCTTTTGATGTAACATCTTTGTTTACAAAAATACCACTTCTTGAGACCATAGACATAATTTGTCAACATTCTGACATCCTACCTCTACCAGTACCAGAATTCAAACAACTATTACTCATTTGTACAAAAGATGTTCAGTTCCAGTTCAACGATATCATATACAAACAAACCGATGGTGTAGCGATGGGAAGTCCGTTAGGTCCTGTCCTAGCAGATATTTTCATGGCTAACCTCGAAAGAACCAAACTCAAACGAGCGATTGATGAAATGACGTATTATTCGAGATATGTTGATGATACCTTCATCGTATGTAATAATAAACAACATGCAATAAATCTGCTAGAGTTTTTCAACGAAGCACATCCGAATATCCATTTCACTATGGAACATGAAAAAGAAAACAAGTTCCATTTTCTCGATATCGCGATGAAAAGAAGAAAAGATGGTACAGTTCAACGTTCAGTTTATAAGAAAGACACATGGAATGGTAGTTATCTTAATTTCAATAGCTTTTGTCCAATCAGTTACAAAAAGGCACTGGTCAAAACACTGTTTTACAGAACAGAAAGAATATGTACTTCCGATACACTAGAAGAGGAAGTTATGAATGTTAAAAAATGTTTAAAGAATAACGGATACCCACTGAAATTTATTGAGAAATACGGCAAATGTGAAGTTAAAAAGCCGAAAGAAATTACAGCAAATAAAAAGCCTATTTTTATTAAACTTCAATTCAAAGGTGACGATGTCACAGGAGCAATCAATATGAGATTAAAAACTGCACTGACAAGAACTTATCCTGCAGCGAAATTGATTGTCCTGTCCAAAACAACATGCTCTTTGACACAATCAAAGGTCGACAGGTATCCCTTTCATGTTACCACCAACTGTGTATACAAATTTACATGTACCTGCCAAAGCAGTTACATTGGTAGAACAGAAAGGAGAGCCTACGTCCGATTCAAAGAACATATTCCGAAAAGTTTAAGGTTAAATGGATTGAACGCATTCAACAGTGCTATCGCAAGACATCTCCTTGATACAGGACATAAAGCTGATATACTGAAGTCCTTCAAGGTGATTAACAAACAATCAAACTCGAACCTTTTGAAATTCGCTGAAGCGTTAGCAATCAAACGTTTAAAACCAGATCTATGTATACAAAAAGAGACAGTAATAAATCTTTCTTTACCCTGGTAACAATAACCCCCACTCTTTCTATTAATCTGCTCCTATTTATTTATTTATTTATTACGTCATTATTGCAACTTTTTCTGAAATATAAATTACATCATACATAACTGATTGATTTCAATTCATATTTTCTTTATTACCATTAATCTATTTTCATGAGTTCTAATCACTATTTCAATGTTCCAGAACTTTCCCTCTCTAACTTTATTTATTTATTCGAATCAAACATTTTATGAGCTCATTAACTCTATCTGAATCTTCGCTACATCATCATACACATGTATTGATCCTTAATCACACTCTTATATATAAATATGTCAATATCTGTATTAATGTTGAATTTTAAATAATTTAGGTTGTAAGCAGCTGATGAGAACCTAACGAAATAAAATGAATTCATATTATTCTGCACCAATCTTTGTTCTTGCTCTATTTAAGATAATAAAGGGAACTATGTGTATGAAAATTGACGTTCACTCGTATATATATATGACAATGAAACGTACTTGTATTTGTGTAGCCTTGAGTTTTTCCAACTGTTCAGCATCTTGGGATGAAATACCATCATATTCGGGACGATCATCACCCGTAATACTATTTAAACAAAAGATGACAGATAGATAAATTCAAGAAAACGAAACATATATACACAAACATACATATATATGTATGTGCGTGTTGGGAAGAAGAAACTACAATTCAGTGATGAATTGTATTTCTTAGTCAAGATAGTTAATTTATTGATTTTGCGAATTCTAGACACGCACATCAGATTATTGATTAACTCGGAGTTCAATTTGTTCGAATTAATTGAATGATTAAACACTTAAAACACGTAACATTATTAACATCAGTATTATTGTGGAGAAAACAGTTAACAGATGCATTCCAGGTGGGGACCGGAGTCAGGCAAGGTTGCTTACTCTCACCCTTTCTCTTTCTTCTGGTGGTTCACTGGATTATGAAGACCTCTAACATTTGACGGGAAGCACGGAATACAATGCACATCTCAAAATCAATTAGGAGATTTGACTTTACAGACGACCTGACCCTTCTATTCTATACACACCAACAAATGCAGATGAAGATAACTACTGTAGCAGAAGCCTCTGCATCAGCAGGTCGCAACATACACAAGGGAAAAAGTAAAATCCTCAAATACAACACAGAGAACACCAACCCAATCACACTTGATGGATAAACTCTAGAAGAGGTGGAATCTTTTACGTACCTAGTCAGCAGCACTATCGATGATCAAGGAGGGTCTGATGCAGACGTAAAGGTAAGGATTGGCAAAGTAATGGCAGAATTCTTACAATTGAAGAACATATGGAACTCAAAACAACTGTCTGCAAGCCAACACCAAAGTCAGAATCTTCAATACGAACAAGACAGTTCTACTGTACGGAGCCGGGACTTCGAGAACTACTACAACCATCATCAAAAAAGTACAAGTATTTATAAACAATTGTCTACGCAAGATATTGAATGTCCACTGACCGGATACCACCAGTAACAGCCTACTGTGGGGGGGGAGGGACAAACCAGCTTCCAGCTGAATAGGAAATTAGGAAAAGACGTTGGAAGTGGGATAGAACATACATTTCGGAAATCAAAATGCATCACGAAGCAAGCCCTACTTTGGAGTCCTGAGGGAACGAGGATGACCAAGGAACACAGTGCGTCGGGAGTTGGAAATAGACATCAAAAGAATGGATAACAATTGGAATGGATTGCTCAGGACAGATATGGATGAAGAATGTTGGTGGACAGCCTATGTTCCTCTATGAAAGGTAACAGGGATAAGGAAGTAAGTAATTATTGTGGAAGTTGTTCTAATTAGTTGCTGAATAAATCAGTCTGCTTATAAGGTCTTATTTTCTTTCTTGTATCGACAAAGCAGTCATCTTATTTCGTTGTAAGTAGCAGGTAGGTGTTCTACAGTCATAGCAAATCAGCTTAACTTACGTTACTGAATTCAACCTAATAATAGTTACACAGGTTAAATCATGTTAAAAGTATCAAGTTCTGAGCTGAGAAGAAATAGCTATCTGAAGTTCTATTTTCTAGTAGCTCACTGTTTAGTGGAAATTATTGGAAAAATTTACTTATATTTATAAAAGAAATAGTGTTAATGTCTGTTGATTTGACAAAAAATAAGGTTAACTAAAAGCTGTAAAACTTACGAAACTTCAAATGGATCGTTCAATGTCACATCTTCATCTTCGAAACCAGTATCTTCTGCATCACTATTCCCGTCGCCAGAAGATGATTGACGAGGTTCAGCAGTAGAAATAGTGTCGACAGGAAGCTATAATTGGAACAGATCAACAGAAACGCACATAGAGAAGCCATACCACCTAGATGATAAATAAACTTGCAAGTTTCACGCAATTAGTTCCCTTTATGAATTTAAATAAAGCAAGAAAAAATATTGATGCATAATAGTATGGATTCATAATATTTCGAGGTTTCTCGTCATCTGCTTACAACCGAATATGTTTTAGAATTTTACTTTGAGATAAGAAATAGTGTAAAACAATTGACATAAACGAATGTAAATAATTTATGTCAATTGTTTCACACTATTTCTTATCTCAAGGTAAAATTCTAAAACATATTCGGTTGTAAGCAGATGACGAGAAACCTCGAAATATTATGAATCCATACTATTATGCATCAATATTTGTTCTTGTTTTATTTAAACTTGCAAATGTTTTTTTCTGAGTTTTAGTTTTTGTAGATACAGCTTAAAAGTCAGTTAAAAGGTCATCTTTATTGTCAGCTAATGGAAGAGTGAAGTAATAAAAAACCTCTGGAAATTTACAAGTTATTTCTTATTTATTTGAACACATAAATGTTGGTAAAAAGGGGCAATAAGTACGTATGCGCCACACAATAACAATGAGAATGTGAAGGGATGGAGAATGTAAGGTGTGTATGTAAAAAACGGCGACAATAACGAACAGAAATTAAGGTATGATAGTGAAATAATAATAATGGGAGAAACACTTCAGTTAGCAAAGGTACAACCAGAAATGATTTTTCAAGTTAACGAACTTATGTCCACTTTTTATGAAGAAAGTAAAAGAATTTTACAGCAGGATCGCCACTGGCTTCTATTCTGAGCCATATCTGATAACGTCTCTAGCCACTGTGTTGCGCTATCTCTCGGACCCCAACCAGGGAGTCGTGAAGGGCCAACAAAAGCCAGTCCTTTGCAGCTTTCTTTCATGCCACGACACCATGTCATGCACTGACCACCTCTCCGCTTTTTCCAACCAGTCCCAGAGTCGGCAAATAATGCACGACGTGGAATTCTCTGGGACGACATTCGTAGAACATGTCCAAGCCACCGAAGTCGGTGTTTCAAGATGGTGACACCAATTGAATTATCATCTCTGTGCCCGAACACACGATGCCGAACCTCTGCATTACTGACATGGTGTTGCCACTGAATTTCAGCAATCCATCGGAGACAGCGATGATTGAACACAGAGAGTCGTCTAACGTCCTCAACTCGGAGAGACCAGGTTTCACAAGCATAGAGCAAAACTGCTCTCACCGACGCGTTGTAGATCCGACCTTTTACAGCCAGACTAACATCACGAAGGCGCCAAAGATGGTCCAGATTAGCATGAGCCGCTCTGGCTTTCACTATACGTGCATTGATCTCATCACTCACACCCCCACCAGCACTTATGCAGCTACCCAGATACACGAACTTCTCGACTACGTCTATCTGCTCACCATCTAGGGCGACTACAGGATTAGAATCCTGCCAGCCTTGTAGAAGTACTTTGCACTTCGAAGGTGCAAAGCACATACCATACCTACGGACACTGATTGCCAACTGATTAAGTGCGGATTGCATGCCTTGGGCATTATCGCACAATTAGACAATATCATCCACCATCCAGGCAACAGATCCACACCACCTTTACTTACATTCATCAGAGCTGTTTCCAGAATATCGTCGATGGCAAGGTTGGAGAGGAATGGTGAGACTGGGCAACCCTGCCTAACCCCACTGCTCGAATGAAACGATGGAGAGGGGTGGTTGTATGCCCTCACTCCGCCTGAGGTGTTTGTACGCAGGGCTTTTAGGATGTTAATAAAGCTCTCAAGTACATCCTTCTCCAATAGACAATCCCAGAGAACAGTTCTATCCAACGAATCGAAGGCAGCCCTGATGTCAAGAAACACTACGATTGTTGGCCTTTGATAAGTACACCCTTCTTCAATAGACAATCCCAGAGAACAGTCCTATCCAAGAAACACTAAGTATGACGGTGTTCTGACATTTGGAGGAGGGTGAAGATATGATCAATACATCCTCGACCAGAACGAAACACAGCCTGCTCCTCGCGAGTCAATCTTTCTCGGGTTTTGAACAACCTACGAAGTATGACGGAAGCCAATAGTTTGGACGCAATCGGAAGTAGACATATCTCCCGATAGTTGTTATAGAGACGATGTGAACCCTTTTTGAGGATAGGGACAATTATCAACTCATTCCACAATGATGGGACACCGTCTAACTGCCAAACCTTTGTAAATAACTCAGTCAGTTCCTTAACCAGAAAGTCACCACCATCTTTAATAAGAGCCGGAGGTAAGTCATCTGGGCCACGTGATTTGTAGCGCTTCAAGAGTTGGAGTTCCTTGCGGACTTCCGCCTCATTTGGTGGATAAGTCGTCACTGGTCATGGAGTGCAGGACAGTATGACCGATGATGCCGGAGCAGCAGGCCAGTTGAACTGCCCTTCGAAAAATTCTGCCCATCGTCCAAGACGTCGATGGATGTTAGTGATTGACGTTCCGTCATCCTCGCAGATTGTTTCACTCACACCAGACTTCTTCCTGCCAGTGGCTCGGATGAGTTGGAAGAGCTTCAGGTAATTACCAGATGCAGCTGCTGCTTCCAGCTCATTAGCACGCTCCGACCACCAGGCTTCTCGGTCCTTACGCAAGCTTTGCCCAATTTCCTTACGTAACATCCTTCGTTTGTGGTCAAACTCACGGTCAACCGGAATAGACCGACGGGCTCCGATGAGTTGTAAGGAGCCAGAAGAAACCCAGTGCTTATGAGTGGAACGTTTCGCGAAGCCGAGAGCGGCTTTACTCGCCATTTTCATGGCGTAATGCGATTGCAACCAATGCTCATCTATACTTTTCGGTGGAATGGTAGCTAGCCTAGAAGCTAGCTCGATTCGATACTTACTTGCAACAAAAGTTGCAACCGGCCTGCCAACACCAATACCTTGGTGGCGGTCTCTTCGTTGGTCACTGAAAAGTTAGGTAAGATTGGTGCAGAACAGGGCATGGTCAGAGTCCAGATAGGTATTCCAAAAGGAGCGGCAGTCTTGTACACAACCACGCCAGCGGTAGCTGATCGCGATGTGATCAATCCGAGTCCAGGCTTGAGATGCAGAAGGGGGATGCCAGGTGGCACATCGGCGATGACTGTGCCGAAAGAAAGTGCTGGCCAGGAACAGGTTGTGGTCTGTGCACAGTTGCAGTAGACGGTCCCCGTTATCTGTCCTGCGACCAACAAGTCCCCATTGGCCACCTAAACGACTCTCTTCTGTGCCCAGACGCCCGACCTGAGCATTCAAGTCTCCGGCTAGTACTACAATATCTGTCGAACGCACTTTCTATAGAAGAACAGATAACTGGTGATAAAACTCATCCTTGGTTGCATCCAGGCTGCAATCTGTCGGGGCATAGGCGGAGATGACGAAAAGACATCGTTTCTCACGCCGATTTCTTCTCACTTAGAAGGAACTCTCTAATCCAACAACAAATAACCGACTGTTAATGGGGATCCAATCGATTAGTGCTGCCTCAGCTTTAGCGCTTAGTGCGACACCAACGCCTGCAAGATCAGACGAAGATGCCACAGGGTCCCCGGATAAGCGCACGTAAAACAAGCTTTTCGAAGCGACAGATGGAGAGCGAATTTGTAGTACTTCACCAAAGTCTTGAATACGGGTTTCGGATAGACAGCAAACATATATATTAAGACTTCCCAAAGACATAGCCAGCCCTATCTGTTGTCCAACCTGCATAAGTGTGCGAACGTTGAAGGCAGCTAGTTTGAATGGCGCGTGCGGTTTCAGAAAAACTGCTTCAGTACTCATATTCGGTAGTAACATACAATTTTCAACCGGACAGTGACTCGAGAACGTTTAGATACAGTCGAATTTCCACCATAGATGAGCTGCTTTTTAAGTCGAAAAAATAAGTATAAATAGAATGGGAATAAAAGAGGGTGAATAATGACGTAGTAAATAATAATAATAATAATAATAATAATAATAATAATAATAATTAATAATAATAATAATGCGAGTCACTTGATTGTTGTTTGGAGCGAGAGGAATATTTTTCATAAGTAGATAGTTTATCATGTTTTTGTGTGCGGGCTGAGATACTGCCCGAGTGCCCAAACCGAAGCAGGTGGTTTTCTTAGGGAGCCACACCCCGAGCCCTTGACCTAAGGGCCTGACCCACAAGGCAGTATAGCATCGTGAGGAGATGCAGTCCCATGGTAGCCGGTGACCAAAATTTGGTTCATACACCGTTTGTTCCCTCAGGATACTGGAGCCTATGTGCACCATTGGTTTGGAATCAGGGTTTTCCAACTCTGCTAGGTGAACCCTCCGTGACTGCCAACCCGGTTAAGCGTCGGACATTCGCTTTTCCTCCTCTCAATCTCGTAAACAACACGTCCGCCTCGAGAATGCAGTGAGGATTCACCTGGCGGTGGCTATATACACGTGGTCATGTGAGAGCATTTTGATAACGAACTCTCCTCATCCTTGGCCGTACCAGGGTAGTTGGGGTCCTACTATTTCTTATTAAGTCGACAACATGGTGTTCGTGACTCGCTGGATGGACGAGGATTATTAAATTAATTGTAAAAAAATATAGGAAAGCAACCACTTTGCGTAAAAGTTAGTAGGAAAGTACCGTTTACCTAAATGGACATTGAATATATTTAAATCTTTGTTCCTTGTGAAATCATACTAAAAATATGACATTTAAAATAACGTTAGAAATAATGTATCTAAAAGTTAAAACCCAGAAAATAAAATTATAGTACATTAAGGGACGAGCTCAAAAATGTCCTATTCTGCTATATATGCAAAAAAATATTAGTTTAATGGAACAAATATAAACCTACAGGTTCAGGACTAAAGTCTGGACAGAGATTGTTCAATTCAGGAGGATATGGCAACTTTTTGTATCGACATAATTCCGTTACAAGTATCTTTACTTGACGATCAATCTGTAGTATGGTTGAATGATTATAATTAATTTGATAACAAAACAATTTACCGTATAGTTGCTTGGCTCAACTGTTTGTAGTCCTCGGAAAATTTGTGTGACAAACGTGTCATCAGAATCGGAAAACCATATTGGAGATGATTGTGGATATGTACCCTAATTATTTAAAATAAATAAAAACCACTTAACACTAGACACAGAAAATTAAGCAGACTAAATCACAACAGGCTATTAACTTGTACAAGCTTTTTTTTAAAAACAATGAATTTCAATAACTGATGGTTTTAAACCACTTAACGAATTTTAGCCGTAATGGTGTTTTATTTCCAAGTTGTGCACCGAATCATACCAACCTAGGTTTTTTATGTGTGATATGGTTTCGGGTAACGGCAACTACCCCAACGACACTGTGAAAGCGGACAAGTCTTTTTTCTCAGCTACTACTTTAAAGAAAAATTACCATGGAGCTAGATAGAATACTGCTGAGAAGCACTATTTGAAATTGGCGCATAAAATTCCCCCAATTATTTCCATATATAAGCCGTCAGTGGATGCAGCCACATGGCTAGAAAAGTTGAGAAATAATTTAAATGCTGTCTGTGAGCTTTTTACGAAACGAAAGTAGATAAAATTTTCGGTAGGTACCATCAACTCTATTAGGGAGGATATAATCAGACAGAACCCCCATTTTAACGGAGTGAAAATTTGACTCAATGATCCAGTGGACAGAAGACTAACTGTTTGCATTATTATGGAACCATTCGAAGGAATCATAGGACTTTGGCCGGAAGAACAGCTATAAACATGGCTTAGGAGAAGTTCGAGACAATTTATTAGCTAGTGATTTAGAAGTATGATTCCATTTTTTAGAGTAGAAGGAGCATCGCTCGAATGTGTGACGTGCAAATATAACGACCAGTAAGGAATGTACTGTCTTAAAATACTCATCAGGTAATATTAACTCTCAGAGAATGCATGGTTCAAATTCAAGAATGCTATAGGTTTCTCCAAGTACACTCATTAACTATTCGCTCATGTAGAACAGGTTCAAAAACATCGACATATAAAGCTCCAAAACTCATTCTTTTACTAGTTTAGACTGAAACATAATCAGGTACTGTGAGATTGGAAGCAGATGTGAAGTGTTTAGTCAGTCATACATAACGTAGGACCTGGAATATATAGGTATCGGTTCGAGTTGGCACACCACATAAGCAGTTAGATGAGATTATCAAGACAAGCCCTAGAGTAGTAGATGAAACAGTACCAGTGGTAGATTAAGTATACACAATATGATTCCACAAGTGAATTCTTAGAACAAAAGTGTTAGATAATGTCAAGTATTAATATCGAAGAATAGATCATTATCTGGAAAACTAGACCAGGAAAACCAGCGTCGGTTGAAGCTACTACGTTTTTATATCGAACAAAGTCAGAGAAACACAAGTTGAAATTACAGGCAAACGTTTTATCCCGACTGTTGTTGCTACCGTGACGTGGTGGCCGAGCTTGCCTATCGTGATGAAGCAACCGAGCTATACTGGCTGGAACAATCGTTCCTCAAGGTCCTAACATGTCAGACAGGTCGGTTGAAGAGCGGTAAGACTAAAAGCAACAAACCCAAGGTTCGAAGGCGAAGTCGTACTGCTGATTGTACAGAGGTGTGACAGCAGTGTGTCCCCTTCAGACAACCAGTATGACAGCGATGCTGCCTTCCCACAAGGAGGGGTGCGGTTAAAAAATGTTGAACCTAAAAATGCACACCTCGCTTTATCCCATGGATATCCGTCTACGGCGGTAAGGTCTCAACAAGTGCGGAGCTAACACAAAAATTACTCATAAAAATGTCGTGCGTGACCGACCTCAAGCAGCTGTCCCTTGGGCACTGAGGCCACGCTCTCAGGTCACTAAGACCACTTCTAATCCGATTTCCTTTTCAGGTACCTCCAGAACAACCCTTCCACGGTGTGGGCAACCGGGAAGTGATAACCGCCCTCATACCTCTAACAGCACTCAAGACCACTGTATTCATAGTCAACCTCTCTCTACAATTCCTATTATTCCTCCTACATCGAATTTCAACGCTAAACTTCCTCTTTCGGCTTCCCCCTCAATTGTCACCATAGCCAACGATTCTAGTGCTCAAAACACCGTCCCAGGTCTACTGAAACCTCGCTCCAAACTACACATTGGAGCCTTCAACGTACGCACCCTATGTCAAATCGGTCAACAGGCTTCCTTGGCTAGAACCCTAGAATCTCGTACCATTGATATATGCTGTGTCTCCGAAACACGCATACAGGATTCCAGTGTGGTCATTCACTTGACCTCACCTCGGCAAAACGTAGAGCCAACGAGATACACCCTCTGTGTATCTGGTGACCCGACGGCCAGCTCTCGTGGACTGGCAGGAGTAGGGATAGCACTAAGCATGAGGGCGGAACAAGCACTGTTAGAGTGGATCCCCGTCAACAGTCGTCTATGTGCTGTTCGGCTAAACGGCTCCGTAAGAACTCGGAAGGATAGGGACACACGTCGTTGCCTTTTTGTCGTTTCTGCCTACGCTCCCACCGATTGCAGCTCAGATGAAGTGAAAGATGAATTTTACAGAAAGCTATCTGAACTTCTTCAGAAAGCTAAACGCTCAGACATAGTACTAGTAGCAGGTGACTTTAATGCCCAGATAGGTAGTTTAAACCAAACAGAAAGGCATTTAGGTGGGTATTTTAGTATTCCGGCACAACGAACAGATAATGGTGATCGTCTGCTGCAACTGTGCTCAAACAATCGTTTGTTTTTAGCAGACAAATTCTAAGCATAAGGAGAGACATCGTCTAACATGGCGACCCTCTACACCAAACCAACGATGAACTCAAATAGACCATATTGCCATCAGTCATCGTTGGAGAGGGTCGGTAGAAGATTGTCGCTCATTTTGGAGTACCTGCTTGGACTCCGACCACGCCCTAATGCAAACATGATCTATCTGGTTCTCTTTAGTGTGGTCCGGTGAGATCCATGCGGCTTTGTGTATACGCTTGTGTGGAAATATTGTGCCACCTATGACCAATTTGTTGAATGCACATATATTTGCAAATTTTTCCCCATTTTTGTTTCTCTCTCCCAGTCCATGTCGTCCCATAATATCTTCATATCCGGTGTTGTCTATTCCGACTTTGGAACTTAGATCTCCCATTAGAATGGTGAGGTCCTTTCTTCGGCATTTCTCTATGATTGACTGCAGCCGCTCGTAGAATTGATCTTTAATGTCGTCGTTGCTATCATTGGTGGGTGCATAACATTGGATAATATTCATTGTGATCCCCTCGTTCTTTGTTTTGAATGATGCTTTGATGATTCTGGATCCGTGAGATTCCCATCCTACAAGTGCATTTCGTGCTACTTTGGACAGCATAAGAGCGACTTCCTGAGTATGTGGAGCATTGTCCTCTTCGTGACCGGAGTATAGCAGCATCTCTCCCGTATTTAGCCTTTTCTGTCCAGCTTGGGTCCAGTGGGTTTCGCTGATTCCCAGTACTGCTAAGTTGTATCTCATTTCCATTGCTATTTGACTGGTCTTCCCGGTTTCCCACATTGTTCGGACGTTCCATGTACCTACAAGGTATCGGCCTCGTGGCTTCCGAAGGAACTCGGCTTTCACCATGAAGCGTCATAGTTCTTCTAAATGAAGACCTTCTAACTCCCAGGGCAGAGTTAAAATGGTTCGAATTATTTTTTATGGTAAGCGTTTTCTAGCGAGTTAGTTTTCTACGGGATGGGGACGCTAACCCCATGCCCAACCCTCCTCCTTCACCCGGGCTTGGGACCGGCAGTAACTCTAGAAGAGCTACATGCGAAGTTTCTATCAATAAAAGGATGAGTATACTGCAAGGCAGTTCGTTCTGTTCTACTTTACGGCTGCGAAATGTGGCCATTAAGAGTAGAAGATATTCGCAAGCTACTAGTATTTGACAACAGATGCCTTAGAAATATTGCTTACATCTGCTGGGATCACCGGGTATGTAATAGTGAGGTTAGACGCAGAGTACTAGGGAATGATGGTAAATCAGTTGGTGGGGTTGTAAATCTTCATCGACTGAGACGGTTTGGTCACGTGTTACGTATGCCTGAACACCGATTATCACAAAGCGCAATGCTAACCGGTGTTGGGGATGATTGGAAGGAAGTTAGGGGCAAACAAATCAAAACGCGGCATCACTGCTTGAGGTCACTAACTTCTAGTCTCAGCCATGGTGGTAGATGCAGACTACTTGGTTGTGGTCCGCGTGACTATCGTAACAAATGGTTGGAGACTATGGGTGACATGGCTCAGAATAGATCACAATGGTATCGGTGTATACACTCTCTATCTTCCCTTAAACTGAGATTAAAATCGCTTCAAATCTTTCTTTCTGCAAACTTATTCTTTCTTTCTATACTATATCCTTATATGAAATCTTTCTTTTATATGTTACCACCATTGAATTAACTACTTTTACGAATCCGGTGTTCATCTTGTCGTGTTAATGAGGTGGTGCAACTTGGACCGATGCATATATGTGCCTGGTATTACGTTGTAGCTGACTGAATGACTGCAAACGTTTTACTTAGTGAACAGACATATGATATTTAGCAAGGAATACCAATAACAATGGTACATTGATATTTGGCCATAACTTGCGTTATTATACGATATGAAACTTTTATTCAGGATTAAAGAGTACATGTGCCTAGGGAGTGCAGTTACTCGTGAATCAGAAACCAAATAAGGTTGATGAATTGCTGTCATCTCGTTAAGACCAGAACATAGGTGAAGATTTATTTCGAATTTTATACCCGAGTTGCATTAGAGTAAGTTCGGAATATAGCTTCAAGTAGAGAGCTCACGTTCTAAAGCATTAGGTAGATTTATGCAACACGATGTAAGAACTAAAGTGATGATAGTTTTTAATACTTCCTAGAAGATGCCGAAAAGCCTAAACCTCTTTTCATTTTCCTGTTGTATATTAAGCCTTGTAAAATCTTACCTTATGTCGGACGATGGATTTAGCATTAGTGCCCTGTTTCCTAAATCCATATCATTTGAAAGGAAATTTTCTAAAAACTTTCGAAGGCTGATATAAACCACTAACTACTGAGTCATCACCGTGGACTTCGACCAAAACGATGTGCTTAAGGCTCTTAGCACCCTAAACATGAGAAGTCAACAGGACCAGATGAACTACACCCTAAAATCTTGAGACATATTGCCGAATATATCGCAGCCCCACTGACTGTGATATTCAAAATGTCACTTGACCAAGATGTGTTACCTATGGACTGGAAGGACGCAATCGTCACTCCCATACATAAAACTGGTCTACGACAAGTTCCATCAAATTACAGACCCGTAAGCCTCACCGGTGTTGTAATTAAAATACTGGAAAGAATAATCAGACGGACCATAACAGCATTTATGGAAACCAATAACTTGCTGAACATGGCACAACATGGTTTTAGAAAGGGTCTATCCTGTACAACGAACCTCCTTATAGCTAGGGAGCTCTGGATTAATGCGCTAGACAACGGAAACTCAGTGGATGTTGTCTACATAGACTTCAGTAAGGCTTTTGACAAGGTGCCAACTAATAGACTGCTATTGAAGTTAGCAAACCTTGGTATTGCCGGACCTCTTTTAAAATGGATTAAGGATTTCCTAGTAGGTCGTAGGCAAAAAGTAAGAATAAATTCCAAGTGCTCCATCTGGAGACCAGTACTTAGTGGAGTACCCCAAGGTTCCGTCTTAGGTCCTTTACTTTTTATAATGTACGTTAATGATCTTACAAGTATAGTACAGTCTCCAATGTTATTATACGCTGACGATGTAAAAATTTGGCGAGTAATAACTGGAGACAAAGACGCATTTACTCTTCAGGCGGACTTAAATAATATGATAAACTGGTCTAAAGAGTGGCTAATGCCTATCAACTCGGAAAAGTGTGTCTACATGCACTTGGGGGATTCAAAGGTTAATACGTACAACATAGGGGATGTGTCATTACCCGTAGTCCGGTCTCATAAGGACCTAGGGGTGACAGTGAGCAATGATCTAAAGACGACGTCCCATTGCCGGGAGGTCGCAGCTGAGGGGTTTCGAACCCTCTGGGCATTGAAAAGGACATTCACTAAGTTAGATACTACAATGTTCACCACAGTATACACAACCTTAGTGAGAACTAAGTTAGAGAACTGCGCTCAGGCTGCAAGCCCCTGTTTAAAAGGTGACTCGGACATACTAGACAAAGTACAGAGGGCAGCTACGCTTGCAATTCCGGAACTCCGGGGTTTATCAAATGAAGAGCGGCTTGAAAAACTGAACCTCTTTACTCTGTCCTATCGCAGACTAAGGGGAGATCTAATATTGATGTACAGAATACTCAGAAATGATTTCGGACCTAACTTATTCTCTCTCTTTCTTCCCACTAGATCGGGACACCTCAGAGAACATAGCAGGCGAGTAGAAAAGCCAAGAACGAACAAAATACCCGTGGCATACAGGTTTTCACACCGAGTCATCAATACTTGGAACCTGCTGCCTGAAGCAGTGGTATCCGCACCTTCAATTGACTCTTTCAAGAGAAGACTGGACACTCACAGAAGCATACTAGAAAAGGAATAACATAGGTCGTAGGCCTTCTGTCCTTACTACACAAATCTGAATCTGAATCTCCTGAAGTTTTCCACCAGGGTGTATATTACTAACACTTTCTAGACAAATTTTCAAGAAGACTAGACCTTTATAGTATCACTGTTAGTGACACTATATATTCCCAGCGGTAATTCATGCAGGTCACTTGACCTTCGATCTCCGAAATTTGAAAGTGCGAACCAAAAGCTAAGTACGGCCAAAAATTAGCATTATTCTTATTGAAAATGATAAACAATGTTTCTTTAGCATACGTGACCGCATACATGGGTCGTTTGACCTCGATTCATAAACATAGTGCTGAGATTCTCTTTCTTGTTGGCCATATTTAGTAAATTCAACAACAAAACTGTGTTAAACGATAAAGCGACCTATTAACACAGCAGAACTTACCAATAGACTACCTGTAATCTCTAAATAACAGTTATCACAAATAAAAGAACACGATATCTCGTCCAGAGTACATGATATAATTCGGAATCTTGGGTGAGACCTAGGGAACATTTCCTGCAGGACCTGCTGATGGTGCTTAAGCTTTTTGATGCACGACATAACATAAAGACCAGCTGACCTTCAGGAGATGCCAACGCAAACCTGGAAACCCAAGAGAAGTTGCGTTCTGAATTCGAATATATGCCCAATGTACAATGTCAAACCTAGACCATGGTCACAGCTTTCAAATAGACAAATAAGAGCAATTTAGCAAACTATTCTCGAAAAGAAATCGACTTCATTTTGCTTATCGTGGTAGAAATCACTGAATAACTTGGCCGAATATACTTGTCCGAAAGCCAAGATCAATATGTTCACATGGTTGTGTTTGACTGTTCTTTTTGCAAATATTATTATTATTAATGGCTTTATTCAATATTATATTCTAGCGCAATATAGAATTCTCAGCACAGGGTATTTCATATTTAATTATTCGTGCATTTTTATACCAACTGCACTCCGTTCCAGTTCCAGAGCTTTGAAACTTTTCAGTTTATTGAAGCTCTTGGCAACTTTTAGAAATACTGTACTGTCAGATAAAGGAAAATGCAAACCACTGAAACTGTACTTTTTGTAAACATTGAGGACCAGGTTAATGGAATTGTACGATATCAAAGAAGCAAAAAAATCTTACCATAGATGTGTAGTGACTCACGTTTATCACGAGAACACGACTGGTTTAATAAAAACAATTATTATTATTATAACCAACTGTACCAGTGTTTGTTTTAATGTGCTTTTGTTTAACTGTGCTAATTATAGCCATTTTGTGCTTCCATTACCTTCCATCATTGTTCCGCGGTTTTTTGGTACTGTTCGCACGTACTCCTGTCTTCTGCTTTCGCTTGTACCTTCTCTTGGCACGATCTCGGTATTCGTTCAATACCACGAGATCGCCAACGAAATAAATCTGGTTACGTTCAATCCTCGCCTTCTGATTTATCTGGCACGTGTTTCTTGGTAGCGGTGTTCACAGTTGATCTCAACACGACGCCACGCTACAATTGGTAATCCCAATTCGAATACAATTGGTGACCCGTATTTTGGAACACGCCCCAACTTCTGGTCAAATCTTCCAAAGAAGCCAATTCGGTGAGTCTATGATTTATCTATCCACGTCTGTCGTATATTTTCATATTTTTTAATATATAATATACGCGACATGACGGATAACGATAATAGTATTAATATAATAGACTCACACGTATGTGTACCGAATCCTTGTCACTTTTTATTCGCGTGATGATGAATTTCACGCTTTGTTCGAGAAATGTTACCCTATTAACGATTCTCCTCGCTGACCCGACTGCTTGGTACGGAATGCATACGCATAAGCATATCCGTCTACCACCCAGCACCAAATGGTTAAGTTGAACGGTTTCACTGCCAACTTAAAAGTGTTCTACGAGCACACGAAAACGGCAACTGGCACGAAACCTTACCGCTCGTTCTTTTAGGGGTGAGAACGAGCTTAAAGGCAGATATCCAATGTTCCGCCACTGAACTTGTATACGGCACGACATTGCGTCTGCCCGGAGAATTCTTCACACCACGGAGCAAACCTAATTTCGGTAAATCAGACTACGTCCATCGACTGTCTGCATTTATGCGAACGCTGTCTCCGGTGTCAACTCGAATACAACATCGACAGGTCGCTCTCCCTCGAGAGTTATCTACCTGTTCACATGTTTTTGTACGAGTAGATTCGGTACGCAAACCTTGGCAACAACCTTACGAAGGCCCTTTTCACGTGATCGCTCGTCACGAAAAGACCTTCAAGGTTGATCGATATGGACGCGTCGAGATCGTCAGCATTGATCGTCTCAAACCAGCACACGTCGATGACAGTGCCCTATCTGACACCCTGAGATTCAATGCTAGACCTATCAAACCTAGCGGGATCCTTAAATCTCCTTCAGGTCCCACGCTATATACATCTGAGACCTCATTCTCACGTCCCGGTCAACAGCACGCGTCATCTGCACCGTCTACGGACGAGACGACAGTCTCACATCCAGATCAGCAGACCACGCCGCATTTGACTTCGGATGAGATTGCAGGCTCACGCGACGCGAACGAGACTGCCGTCTCACGTTCCGGTCGCCGAGTACGGTTACCCGTACGTTTCCGCGAATAGTCGCACAGTGAACAACCGATACGGTGTAGGACTATTCCTATGCTACATGCATGCTACACTCTTCTCTTTTTTGCTTTTCTTTTTGTTTCCTGAGCCCGCGCCTTCGACCATCTCCGTTTGGTACCATCGACTCCAGTCAACTTTGGCGAAAGCTGGCCTGATCACCCACGCTCTTGTCAACGTTTTCAGTCGATATATTGGTTTCGAAAGCTTGGCATGCGCTTGGTCTCGAACTTGGTCGTAACGGTCGCTTCTGGTCTTTTGGCTCAACGTGGTTTCGTCCTACGTCTGCAGCGTTTCTGGTGCGCACCTCTACGAACGCCCTCTTCAGATTCTGGATACAAACCACTCTGGTGTAGCATGCCAACTCAAGCAATAAATACAACACATCGCTCCTGGTACCGTTCTCCGATAACGACCTTCGTTGGCAACTCGACGATCAACGATCGCTTTCCTGTTCGCCAATTCTTCCGTCCTACAATCGCTCATCAGCCGATCAGTCCCACGATTCAAACCGCTATTTATCGAAAGTGTAAACCCTTTCTAGCGGGGGGCTCCTGTAGTGACTCACGTTTATCACGAGAACACGACTGGTTTAATAAAAACAATTATTATTATTATAACCAACTGTACCAGTGTTTGTTTTAATGTGCTTTTGTTTAACTGTGCTAATTATAGCCATTTTGTGCTTCCATTACCTTCCATCATTGTTCCGCGGTTTTTGGTACTGTTCGCACGTACTCCTGTCTTCTGCTTTCGCTTGTACCTTCTCTTGGCACAATCTCGGTATTCGTTCAATACCACGAGATCGCCAACGAAATAAATCTGGTTACGTTCAATCCTCGCCTTCTGATTTATCTGGCACGTGTTTCTTGGTAGCGGTGTTCACAGTTGATCTCAACTCGACGCCACGCTACAGACGGAAGAAACTACTGTGTTCCTTGGTCATCCTCGTTCCCTCAGGACTTCAAAGTAGGGCTTGCTTCGTGGTGCATTTTGATTTCCGAAATGTATGTTCTATCCCACTTCCAACGTCTTTTCCTAATTTCCTATTCAGCTGGAAGCTGGTTTGTCCCTCCCCCCCCACAGTAGGCTGTTACTGGTGGTATCCGGTCAGTGGACATTCAATATCTTGCGTAGACAATTGTTTATAAATACTTGTACTTTTTTGATGATGGTTGTAGTAGTTCTCGAAGTCCCGGCTCCGTACAGTAGAACTGTCTTGTTCGTATTGAAGATTCTGACTTTGGTGTTGGCTTGCAGACAGTTGTTTTGAGTTCCATATGTTCTTCAATTGTAAGAATTCTGCCATTACTTTGCCAATCCTTACCTTTACGTCTGCATCAGACCCTCCTTGATCATCGATAGTGCTGCTGACTAGGTACGTAAAAGATTCCACCTCTTCTAGAGTTTATCCATCAAGTGTGATTGGGTTGGTGTTCTCTGTGTTGTATTTGAGGATTTTACTTTTTCCCTTGTGTATGTTGCGACCTGCTGATGCAGAGGCTTCTGCTACAGTAGTTATCTTCATCTGCATTTGTTGGTGTGTATAGAATAGAAGGGTCAGGTCGTCTGTAAAGTCAAATCTCCTAATTGATTTTGAGATGTGCATTGTATTCCGTGCTTCCCGTCAAATGTTAGAGGTCTTCATAATCCAGTGAACCACCAGAAGAAAGAGAAAGGGTGAGAGTAAGCAACCTTGCCTGACTCCGGTCCCCACCTGGAATGCATCTGTTAACTGTTTTCTCCACAATAATACTGATGTTAATAATGTTACGTGTTTTAAGTGTTTAATCATTCAATTAATTCGAACAAATTGAACTCCGAGTTAATCAATAATCTGATGTGCGTGTCTAGAATTCGCAAAATCAATAAATTAACTATCTTGACCAAGAAGAAAGAGAAAGGGTGGGAGTAATCAACCGTGCCTCATTCCGGTCCTCACTTGGAATTCATCTCTCAGCTGTCTTCAATGCCACACATTGCATTGTAGTCTGTCTTATGAATCTCGGATGATGTTATTAACTTCTCAGTTAGTCCATAGTGTCGAAGAAGGTTTCATGAGGTTTCTTCTATACACACCGTTAAACGCTTGCTCATGGTCAACGAAGTTGATGTAAAGTTGCGAGTCCCACTCAACTTACTGTTCAACGATTATCTCTTGTGTCACAATTTAGTCTGTACATGATCAATCCTTACGGAATAAAGGTTGTTGGTCGCGATTTCGTGCGTCCACCAAATGTTTCATCTTGTTCAGCAATACTGTTAGAAACCTTTCCTTTTACCGATGGTGTTATGATTCCTCAATAGTTTCCACATTTGATAAAAATGTCTTCGATTGGCATCCTGATGTGGTACCCTTTTTCAAGTCTTTCAGCACTTGTTCTCCCCCCCAATTCTTCCTGAATATAAAGTAAACCATACCTACAGTTACTTCTATGTCTGGTTTCACTACTTAAGCTGGGATGATGTCGTTGCTTACTACTCTACCACTTTGATTTGTCTGATGGTCTCCTCCTTCCCTTGATTGTTGGTAATAAGGCGACCTTCTTGAATATCTGGGCTGCCTGTTCCTGCCATCTAATTATTTCAACAAGTTATCTGTTTTTTCATTAGTTTTAACTTATAACCATGTTCATTAATCGCGTAACCTATTCAGGCGCTTTTATGAAAATTCTACGACGTTTCGCTGCAAATAAAAGTACTAAAAAACATTGTGGTGGTTGGCAATATGCGTTCAAGCGAATGAACATTGGTCGTATATCTATTCTCAAGCTTCTACATTCTAACTGACGATCACTAATCAGCTAATTGGACCATCTGCAATTCCTGCTAAGTCAAAATATGTATCGTAATTGTGGTGTCATCACATTTCAAGAATCTCGGTTAAATGATTTACGAGACGACTGCCTAGTATTACTAC